TAATCCGAACGTAAACCGTCATCAAACTGTTATCATTTGTTTTTTTCTGGTAACGTTCGTCTTAACGTAGGGGGCAGACACATCAATAGAACAGCGCACCAGTTAGCCCTGTGCGAGGATTCTTAATTTAGGTCACCGACAACCGTCATTTGTTTTCTGCCTTAAATTAATCGTAATTATCCTTAGAAAGTATTAAATTTAGCATCTTAGAAAAGATGTAAAGTTCGCCTCTACCCCAATGTGTTTTTAATACAGTATAGTTTTGCCCTGAACTATTATAATATCAAAGCACTCGGACTACCGTCCTCGTGCTTTAATTATAATAGTTCAGGGCAAAAACCATACCTTATTACAAAACACATTGGGGTAGCTGGACTACCGTCCTCGTGCGCTTTAATATAATAGTTCAGGGCAAAACTATACTTTATTACAAAACACATTGGGGTAGAGCGAACTTTATTTCTTAAATACAGTTCGCTCTACCACCATGTATAGTGTAATAAAACACTTTCGCCCTGAACTATTATGACGTTAAAGCACGGGCGGACGTCCTCGTGCGCAACTATAATAGTTCAGGGCGAACCATCAAACTAATTACAAAGAAGTGTGTTTTATTACACTATACATGGTGGTAGAAACGAACTGTATTTCTTTCTAAGATGCCAAATTTAATACGTTCTAAGGATAATTACGATTAATTTAAGGCAGAAAACCAAAGACGGTGTCGGTGACGGTGTCGGAATCCTCGCACAGGGCTAACTGACGCGCTGTTCTATTGATGCGTCTTCCCCTTACGTTAAGACGAACGTTATCAGAAAAACAAATGATAAACAGTTTGATGACGGTTTACGTTCGGATTAAATATCTTCTCTAAATTATTTTAATTACATCTGTGATTAACGTAAACCATGTGAACGTCGCATTTCTACTACCAACGTATGTTTAGATAGGTACATGTATCCAGACGAAGCTGAGTAGTCAAGCGACATTCCACGATTGCATTGTGGGAATGTAAACATTGCGAACGTTACCGTGTCGCTGAAAACTTGTGAGTCGAATTGAGACATTTTAAACGTCAGAAAACATAAACGTAATGTTTCCACCAGTGATGTTAGGTGAGTGAAGCAACTGCAAACCAAGAAACGGGATGCAACGCAGTAGTTTACTGTAGGAGGCTGTACGAGGCGATGACAACTGACATGCATCGTGACGTCGCTTACATTGTGACGTAATGTAAAATGGTTCGATTACGAGGGGGCACACTAGAATGGCGCAGTGACGGGATAACGTCATTCAATTGTTACGTCATCAAAAAAACTATACCTTAAATGTCTGATAATGTTGGGTTTTTTCGATTGTTCTAACCGCTAGACATCTTAGAAACTTGAATACTACATTGCTTTGCATCTGTGTATAGGTTTGAACCTCGGCCTTTAAAGGGGAAGTTTACACGAAAATTAACCTTTTCGTCTTGCGCATTTTCATAAAAAGTCTTAGTCAAGTAGTTTTATAGCCATATAGCCAAAATAACAGTACAGATATCAGAAGTAACCAATTTGTTTTTTGCGTTATATCGATTCAAATTTTCCACATGAACCGAGAGTTCTATGTCCACAATAAATACACCATGGCTTATGTCCCTTGGAAATGACGTCATTGGTGCCAAAGCTATAAACGAATGACGTTGTTAGACAAATTTCACGTGGTGCAAGTACAGGTGTGGTTCTTGTGTCTCGATGCCCAGTCTACTGTTTTAATCCAGCTGTTGCCTAGCTAAGATACATAGCGTTCACTGACATGAAAGTCTAAGCGTGACACGCCCCTGTGTACAAAAGAAAATAACAGACAGATATTAAGAATGTTTCGGACTACTTACATGACACATTTATAATGCACATACGTTACTTGAAACAACGAAAGTTTCCTTACAAATATCATGTGTACTTGTGTAGGTGAACACGCTATTTTGTGAAAGTCGCTTCCGATAGTGATATCATACGGGTGCAGGCTAAAACGGAACCACAGCAAAACGGCACCAGGCGAAAACGGCACCATTTGGACATAACGGAACCTCGACTTGGCGAAAACGGCTACAAATCTTTTAGTGCAATTCATGAAGACATTCGGCCAAATAAGCATCCGACCAAATATGGACGTGTGAACATGTGTTATGTTGACGGTTTGTTATCGTCTTTATTATAATCTTGTTATTTTAATGTAATGGGTGATTGAGTGAGTTATGATTTTACGCCGCTTTTAGCAATATTCCAGCTGTATCGCGTTATAATCTTGCTAATGTTGAAATGAAATAAAAACCATAAGTCAACGTCATACTGTGTTTTTTATATGTTGAATCTAATGTTATAATTAAACGAACTAAAACATAAAAGTCAACATCATACTGTGTTTTGTATATGGTGCCGTTTTAGCTCAGAAATCAGTAGCCGTTTTCGCCAATACGGTGCCGTTTTCGCCAAACGATTTTGGTGCCGTTCTGCTGTGGTTCCGTTTTAGCTATAACCCCATCATACGTACATTAACATGTGTGCTGTCTGCGCTCTGGTAGAATGAATCCAACGCAAACTGCTTGTCAGTGTCGTTATTTATTCCAGTCCTCAGATTGAAATTACACTGATTATTTATATAGTAAACAGCTGTAAACAAAACAAAAGCCTAAATTCCAATGGAGTTCCATAAATCCTATGTCCTATGTCGCATATCATAGATCCTATAAAACCCTATATCCTATTTCAAAGTAATTGTACCTTATAACATGAAGCAGATGGGATAATATACAAAATAAGACTTCAGTAATTGATACAGGTTGAAAGGTGAAATATATCCTAATTACAAACCTCCTTTTACAATAACATAAATTGACGAAATTCAAAATGTTCCTTTACATCAAATTTATCTCCATTGTAGCCTGGGTAAAACATACACACAAATTAACTACATGTATCTTTCCTGACAGATACACTTTACAGAGTGAATATCAACAAATTTATATTAAATGTACGCAAATTATAATGCAATTGAGCCTATATGTAGATAAAGCGTGTGACCAAAACCTGTGCCATTTTACCGATAGATGAAATCACTTTAATTTACCCTATAATTACCCTAATAGGTACATAAATGTACAATAACAATACTCTAGACATAAGAAATAAAGAGTACTTACACCTTAGTTGTCCTGTATGTTCCGCTGCAATCGGATGACCTATTATTTCCTAATTTTCCTTTTTACTGCCCATAAAAGCATGGCCGGAGCCGCTCGCTAGGCGCGATAACTTTAAACCTCTAACGTTAAATAAGACAGGTATAAAAAAAAATATGCCTTTGAAGACCATAATCAAAGGGAGATAATTCCATAAACCTAATGTGACAAATCCTGGTCAAAAGCAGGTAACCTACTGCTGTTACTGATGTAATGTAACAACATTGTTTTACATATTTGGTATTTTCATTGAGGTAAGGTTTATGGATGAAAATACACACGATCAATCTCTCCTGCTTTGCGTTGGATTCATTTTTTAAGATCTGTATCAGCGGTCATTTTCAGTGATTCTTACGAGCAGTTCGGTCAGGTTCTTCCTCAGCAAGGCAAGACTTGATCAATATACTCGACCTTTCCAATGAATTAAAAGGATGCCATCTCTATGTCATTGAGCCTTTTGTAGCTAAATCAAAATTATTCAGAATTAAGTGAGTGAGTTTAGTTTTACACCACACACAGCAATATTCCAGCTATATAGCACCGGTCTGTAAATAATCGAGTCTGGAACAGACAATCCAGTGATCAACAGCATGAGCATCGATCTGCGCAAATTGGGAACTGATGACGTATACATGTCAACCAAGTCAGCGAGTCTGACCACCCGATCCCGTTAGTCGCCTCTTCCGACAAGCATGGGTTACTCAAGATCAATATTCTAACCCGGATCCCTCAACATCAATAACACTTAAGATCACTACAGCAGTTTCATGTATGGCCAGTTTGTTTATTTGTGCGTTGTTCAATTTCTGTCATAGGTTTCATTGTTTGTTGTTTAACGGGACACTCAGCAATATTAAAGCTATATGACAGCGGTCTGTAAACAATAAAAAATCTGGACCAGCCAATCAAGTGATCAACAAAATAAACATCTTTCTATGCAGTTTGGGCCCCATGATATATGTCAACCAAGTCAGCGAGCCTGACCACCCGATCCCGTTAGTCACCTCTTACAAGCATGGGTTGCTGAAGACCAATTCTAACCCGGATCTTCACTGGTCTCAAGGAGTGTGACCACACATTCTCTAAAGCTACCTAATGATCAGCATGTGTGCAGGTGGCCAGCTCCTACCCAGACTCCTACAATAGAGAGCAGGGGTGGAAATACCTTTAAAATTGATAGTGTACTCCAGTACAGTGGCACATGTAAAGTCACTTGCCCTGATAATTTTTCCACTATACCGACCGTTTTCTTGCTGATTTTTTTAAATAAACAACATAATTAACTTTGGAAAGTCAACTGGACACCGGTACAGTGTGATATACAAATTTGCTTGCCCGACAGAAAAAAACACTGGACTCGGACGTCTGGCAATGGGTTATTTCCACCCCTGGAGAGGCCTCACACATTCCACACAGGGGACTCTTACATCCAGTAAACTAGGGCTGAGATGGGTAACCCGGATAACCAGGACGAGTGGGTAATGAGTTGGACCCAAGTACCCGTCTCAATACCTAAACCTGTTATGATTATGTGACTAATAGATTAAACAATGTAATGTGTTATTCTTTTACGGTTAAAAGGTTGTATTGTCTTTGAAGATTTGGACATAATTTACAGTTTTGAATAAAATACATGGTTAAGATATTGAAAAACTCAATAGGGTATAGTAGGGTAGGGTAATAGGGGTTGGGTTCCTGGGTAGAAAATGTGGACCCCGACCCAGCCCTACAGTAAACCCTGTACTGCTACCTCAAGAAGATAAACACAACAACTCAGAGATGAAAACATAACTGTTTTAGTTTTGTCATGAAAATCCCAAAGCTGAATCCAGAAATGATGCAAATTTTTCAGGTTTCCCAGAGGGCAGTGGTTTCAACTTGGTGAAGTCACAGGATTGTAGTTTCTCACACAATGAACTGAAAGTAGAGACAGGGTCATGCAGAGGTTCAAGCAAATGTAACATTAAAACATCTTAATAAATCTGTAATTTTGAGCTGCATATGTACAAATATGAGTGACATAATAAACAAATGAATGAACTGGTGATTTTGTCGAGAATACTAAACGATGCCGTCGTGAAAAACCTGCACTGGCTTCCTGTTAAATCAAGAATCAACTTAAATTGTGTTTTGCATACAAATACCTCAATGATCAAAGGTTACTCGTTAGATACCATACCATTCACTCGTTTTATAAATATGGTTATGTGGGAGTGCTTAGGAGTTCTGCTTATGATTCGGGAGGCTGCATTTTGGACATTTTGTAATTTTGAAAGCATCTTCTGAGAAATACCAACGAGACACAGTCATAAATATCCCCCGCAATGGCAAAACACACCTTATGAATATGTCTATTAATTATGATTATGTCAAATGTTTGGCGTGTATATATAGCAAAGTGGAAGGAGAGTACTGAAAGGTTTTTAAGTTCTGCTCCAGAAAGGAGCACTACCACGAAATTCAGTCGAAGTCAAACTTGTTGCCATGGAAATGCAAAAAATATTTTATTCAGAAATCCATAAGTACCAAAAGGCACCAGTACACCACCAGACCAATCTATGTGCCAAGTTTGGTAAAGAAATACTGAATGGTTTTAAAGTTCTGCTCTGGAAAAGACACATGTGTATGGACAAACGGACGGACTGAGCCCATTTTAATACCCCCTCAAACGCGTTGCAGGTGATAAAAAGGGAGAGGACAAAAATGAAAACAAAAATACTATTAGAGCTCCAGATAAGCAGGTATTTCCAATTTCAAGTGGGTAACCATACTTTTTGATACCAACCATATTTTTAAAATGCGGGTATCATTTCAAATAACAAGTTTAATAGACTCTGTGTGACTTGTTTTATCCCATAATAGAGATAAACAAAACCCTCCAGGTTAAAGATGAATAACTAATAATGCTAAGTTATAGCTCATAGCTAATATAGCTTTATCCACTTGTGCTGTAAGAAATAATATGCGCCTTAGTCTACATCCGTTTTGGTGTCAAAGAAGATACCAAGATCGCTATTAGATGATAAAACAGCCAAGTTTTCACTCTAACAGTTAGTTTTTTTAAAACTTTTGTTTGATTACCCGGTACAAGATTAACATTTACACGACTTACAGCACTGAGTTCATGATATAAATCTGCCATAGCTGGCACATTCACAGCAAACATTGACGAAGATTGTGACAAACCTTGTACACTTGCCAAACACTCGCCAATGCCGTCCGGTAGTTCCGCGCACCTAAGCACATCGATCAAGAAGGCAACTAACGTCTCTTATTTTTTGTGGTTTTATTGACGACTATAAGATTCTAAAGTTGCATTATGCCATACGGTTGACTTTACTGGCGTTCTGACGACATCGCTTGCTGTCTGGTAAATCTGCACAGCAACTGCGGCGCATATCATCCGGCAAAAGCGAAAACTTTTTGTCATTTATTACGTGAATCAGCGATGCTAATACATACTTTATTGACTGCAAAAGTTTATAAATGGTTCTGTGAATTTACTTCCGTGAGCATCGACATTTTGCCATGGAGGTGTCAGGTACTTGTATGAATATTCATCAGGTCACCATGAACTTGTCAGCGATATGTGCGTAGGCGTGGCAGGTATTTACATTGATGTTTTTCGTAATTCAGTCTCGTTTATAATTATTTTTCTCGTTTATAACATTTTAATTAACACGTTATGCTTATTTACTTACTTTAACATTAAAAGCCAGTCCCTAAGAGTAAATGTGGTAGCAGACGACGTTTACCTTCGATATGGAAGTACACTATTGCAGCTGTGCAAATTTACCGGACGCGCGGAACTACCGGACTCGCTTGTACAGTTGTCAGTTTGAGATTTGTCATGACACACACTACGAAATAACCTCATAAGACTGTCTCTTTGATACAAAATTAACCATGGATATCATCTTTTCTGCGTAGCAACCTTGTTTTCAAAACCTTGTTCCCATCATGTTGTTTCACTTCCACGCCGTGAATAGCTAATGTTCATTTAAGATATCACCAGCAATTGATTCTGATTGTGAAACCCAGCACTTGACTATTAATTCATCTGGCAGTCCTCTAATGAAGTTGTTTTCTGTTTGTTGTGTAAAAAAACTAGATATCTTACTTTGAGCCTGTGGAAGCTTTTGACCACGCTTGTTTGCCATTATCGATTTGTTTACAGGACATGTAGAAAGAAAACAGCTAATTGATTGGTTGCTATTTATAAATGGGCCAATCAGTGAAGGGTTAACAAACAATGACTGGTATTCTATCTGCGTTGCGCATCATAATTGCCTTTAGAGTTATTCAAGATTCGTTTAATTGAGAATATTTGGAGCTTGAAAAACATTTCAGTTTATTTCGATTGGCTTGAATTGATATGATATGCAACATGATTTTGATGTAATTGGTAAATACGCATTGTTATTTTGACATGGTGTAACGTAAATATCAAGTGTTTTTCCATACGCTGGCATTTATTTGTCTTGCGTATTTCAACCTATCTGTAGTGTATTATATGCAATACGCAGCTTATCTTGAGCTCTGTACTATATTGGTGTACGAATCATATCACAACCATATCATTTGGGTATGTATTGTATCACAGCCTTGCTGCATTGTAACACTTCTGTTCATACAAACATCCCACCTATTTCATACAGATAACGTACCTGCAGGTGCAGTAGTATAGGTGCCCATCCACGGCCAGCTGATGTGCTAGTTCAATCTGGTGGTTTCCCTGCAACTCTTCATTGATGACTACAAGCAGAGGCTTCCCGGCCCCTAGGACGTCCAGCACACTCCCCGCACCTGCCCATCAAACATATAATGTCAGCCCCAGAGACGTCCAGCAAACTCCCCGCTCCTGCCCATCAAACATATAATGTCAGCGTCCAGCACACTCCCTGCACCTGCCCATCAAACTTATAATGTCAGCGTCCAGGACGCTCCCCACACCTGCCTATCAAACATATAATGTCAGCGTCCAGCACACTAACCACATCTGCCCAACAAACATATAATGTCAGCGTCCAGCACGCTCCCCGCACTGCCCAGCAAACTTATAATGTCAGCGTCCAGGACACTCCCTGCACCTGCCCATCAAACATTTAATGTCAGCGTCCAGCACACTAACCACATCTGCCCATCAAACATATAATGTCAGCGTCAAACACGTCCAGGACGCTCCCCACACCTGCCCATCAAACATATAATGTCAGCGTCCAGCACACTCCCTGCACCTGCCCATCATATAATGTCAGCGCCCAGCACACTCCCCACACCTGCCCATCAAACATATAATGTCAGGCGCCCAGCACTAATGTCAGCGCCCAGGGCTCCCACACCTGCCTATCAAACATATAATGTCCCCAGCACCTGCCACATCAAACATATAATGTGCACGCCCAGCTTATAATGTCGGCGTCCAACTCCCCACATCGCCCAGCTAACCACATCTGCCCATCAAACATATAATGTCAGCGCCCAGCACGCTCCCACCTGCCCAGCAAACATATAATGTCAGCGCAGCACACTTCCCACCTGCCCATCACTCCCTGCACCTGCCCATCAAACATATAATGTCAGCGTCCACGCCCACCTGCACACTCCCCACACCTGCCCAGCAAACATATAATGTCAGCGTCCAGCACACTCCCTGCACCTGCCCATCAAACATACAATGTCAGCGTCCAGCACACTCCCCACACCTGCCCAGCAAACATATAATGTCAGCGTCCAGGACACTCCCTGCACCTGCCCATCAAACATATAATGTCAGCGTCCAGGACGCTCCCTGCACCTGCCCATCAAACATAAATAATGTCACCCTGGACCTGTGGAATAAACACATACCCTGGACCTGTAGAATAAACACACACCCTGGACCTGTAGAATAAACACACACCCTGGACCTGTAGAATAAACACACACCCAGGATCTGTAGAATAAACACACTAATCAGTAGACTAAACACACACCCTGGACCTGTAAAATAAACACACACATCAGTAGAATAAACACACACATCATAGTTTACTAAATGACCATTGAAACTCTCAATGAAAATGGTTGAAAATGAACTGTGCACCCCCATCCCCTTCTCAAAAAGCTGTATCCGCCCCTGACACTCATACCCTGTATTTGTTGAATAAATGTACCCTCTCATCTCTAAATGAGACACATATTTTGTGTTTACAGAATACAATCACCCTCTGTACCTGTAGAATAAAACACACACACACACGGTATCTATAGAATAAACACACACCAAACTCCTGTTGAAATATGTTTGTAAAATAAACACATCTTCTACACCAATCCAATTGGTAGGTTCCATACACACTTCCAGTTACCTTGAGTTAAAGAAAAGAATGGTGCTGTGTCATAAATATAACCCTCACCTGCATGACTGATGACAAGAGATGCTCCTTTAATGTCATCAGCAATGGAGTCTTTGTACTCAAAATGTTCAAGAGTAAAATCATCCACGTCACTGTCTTCAATATCAAAGTCTATTTTGCCAGTCTGCATTGTCAGCTTGTTGTAGCCGAGAGTCTTAAATACCTGAAAATAGATGAGTGAATGAGAGAGCAAGTTAGGTTCATGCTTCTCTGAAAAGTATTCCAGTTTCATTGCAGAGTGTCAGCTTGCTGTTGGAATAAATGAGTTGGGTTTTACTCCACTTTAAGCAATATTCCAGCAATATCAGGGTGGGAAACACCAGAAATGGGCTTCACACATTGTACTCTTGTGGGAAATTGAACCTTTAGCGTGACAGGCGAGCGCTTTAACCACTGGGCTACCTCACCACCTCGCTTGATGTTATAGGAAAGGGCAAGATGTACACAACTTTAATGCACTGACACTAGTGAGTGACAACCATAGAAACATAATAAGGATGAACTGGGATTCAAACCCACAATCATAGGTTTCTGCTGCATCCAAGGGACACAACTCTGTACAGCGAATCATGGCCCTCAGATGATTAAATGACTACTACTTGAATCTGAAAGATAATCAGGGAGAACTGGGGTTTAAACACACAATCTTAGCTTTCTGCTGCATCCAAGGGACATAACTCTAAAAAGTGACCCCTTTGAAAAGAGCAACCAGTGCCTGTCAGATGAATAAAAACTACAACTTGTATATGCTGATCAGGGACAGAGATATGGTTCATAGAGTGCCGCAGAATATCTAATAGAGGTTTGGGTGAGTGAGTGAGTTTAGTTTTATGCCATTTTAAGCAACAGTTCACACATTATACACATGTGCAGAATAGAACCCGGTTTTCAGCATGACAAGCAAACACCTTAAATACTAGGCTACCCCACTGCCCCTACAGGTTTAGGAATTATATGGAACTTAGAGTGAGAACTAGAGGTAGGATTCAATTCTTTTGAACTTACACAGCGATGTGCATGTACATGTGTCCGTTTGAATGTCCAAGTCAGAGTAATGTCGTAACACAACGAGGTGCCATGCAGCAGCTAAACATGGATACCTCACTCAGACACAATGTGACTCAGAGTCAAGCAATCCAATAATCACTCAGTCATATCTTAAAATGTAAAACTTCCTTGATGTATTCTATATTTAATCTATTATCAATGTTTCCTTTATACGAACCACTTCACACAATTGGTTCCGTTCCAAATTCACTTGAGCAGCTTTTAACAGCAAGTAACTTTTACACTGACAATTCAGTATGTTTAGCTCCCAATTAACACTATTAACCATAACAAAAATAGGCAGAGGCGCTCTGTTTTGGGGCTAGAGTATGAGGAGAGGTGAAATTTGATTTAACGTCGTGCTCGAGAATATTTCGCTCATATGACGACGTGCATGCGTGCATGTGTGTGTGTATGTGCGGCTGCTTGTACTAACCCAGACTTGAGCTGGTTTTATAGTGCTAGCCCACTGAGATACCATGACGCAGTGAAGCATGGATACCCCACTCAGACACATTATACTGACTCCGAGCCGACCAGTCCTTGTTGTACCCATTAATGCCGAGAGCCAGGCAGGGACCAACAAGTATTTTAACGTCTTTTGGTATGACGCGGTCGGGGATCGAATCCGCGACCTTCCGCTCTCCGGGCGGACGCTCTAACCACTACACCACGGAGGCGGTCGGCTAGAGTATGAGGGGTGGGGGGATGTATTGTATCCCAAATGTCCATCCACCCAATTGTGTAGAAACACCAGTTTGAACCTTTCGCCCTCATTTATGCCAATTCAGAGAAATTGTTATTCCCCAAGAAAAGCGAATCTATAAGAGTTTGGTTAGCTTGGTCAGTGCACTTTCCCAGTACATTCACACAAATTTTCCTTCTATAACTCCAAGGGACAAGAAATTTAGTTCGCTATATCCGTTGTTCGCTATTCACATTTGACCGCCATCTTGATTGTAGAGATGAGGACATTCACAGACATTACCTATATGTTGATAAATATGAAGTTTATTTTTATAATAAAATTGAAATAATACAACTACAACTTAAATAAATTTATTTTATTTTTAATGAAAATGCAAGGTTGTTGAATGGGTTAAACACGATATGTTTGTTTTGTTAATTAATTAATGACCATCAATCAATGTTGATTCACCACCAACAAGATTGATGTATACTGTACCGCTAAGTGGCTGAGCTGACACTGAGTGAGTTTCGCTAATCACGTCCTTAATTGGGTCTTGGGGGTAGTAAATCAGTTCGCTATAGCCGTTAATTCGCTACTCACGAAGTTCAATTATTCGCTGTATAATTTTAATGATATTATAAAGGACTGTTGGATGGGACTTTTAAATTTGTTCGCTATATCCGTTTATGCGCTTATATCCGTGTTCGCTATATCCATGTTCTACTGTATAATGTTTTCAACTCTAAATATCCTGGTTATACAATCTTGGGAGTTGTGTATTGCGGATAGTGTAGGATAGACGCCCTACAAAGCGTGAATCATTGTTTGGGAGTTTTCCGGCCTTGCTGCAGGCCTACCTTTTGCTGAAATAAATACAACCAAAGTGTTGGTGTTGTTAAGCCAGTTTTAATCTTTGCATGTCACTCTCTACCTACAGAGTCTCCGGCGTCACATTCTATGACATCACCCACACAACCAGTGTTAACAAACCTTAAATTCTGTTGATTCAAATATATGCCAATAGAGTATTAAAGGGGCACTGATGCAGAGCAATTTCCGTGGACTGGTTTTGATTTTTGTTATTGTTTTTTTCCTGATACCACCCGGATGATATCACATAATTTCGTGACAGGTAGTAATCTCTGCTGCGCCACCCGCAAGTGCAATTGGTGGTATAAGAGTGTATCCTTACAATGATCAACAAGGTTGAAATCAAGTTTCGCCTTCAAATTAATTGGAACATGTAGTCATCTTTTGTACCCATTAATATTTCCATCTTCAGTATCATGGCAACAAATGAAAACCATTTTGAAGTTTAACTTTATCTGCCAGTGGTAAAAAATGTTAGGACTGAAAGAAAACAAAGTCATTGTATGTTTTGTATTTTTGCCTTATAATCCTAGCATAATTAATTTAATATTATTATTATATTTTTATGCAATTTGGAACTTCATAATAAAGTACATGATCTGTTTTCTTAGTACTTATCTTAGTACTTAGTACTTAGTGAATCATATGTCAGACACACCCTAATTGTGACCTAGTGCATGTTGTCTGTCTCGCATCGAAGAACTTCACTGCAAAAAAAATGTAGTGGAATGATTTTGTTGAATGTATAAAAACAAAATACAACTATCAAAATTAGACTATAGCAATATCAGGCTATTACCTTGGGAAAATGGGGTAAATGGGAACCATTGTCGGGTAATCTGAGTGGTGTTACCACTAATTATACCTGTTATAAATTCATTAATTGACCATCTAGTGAATGATGAAAAATAAACAGGCATAGGTTTATACCACCAAACATGGGTTACAGCATGGGAGTATAGTAATTGCTGTATCACATGCAATTTTTATTCCCTAGAAACTGTGGGGTCAACACTGTTTCGAGGATATGAACTTCATTGTTACATAAAATATACATACATGTATAAGCATTTGCTGTGTACTAAAGTTTAAAACTGTACATACCTATTTACCTACATAAAATTTTAGATTTTTCTAGCAATGTCAATATGACATACATATTAAAAGAATCAAATATGTTTCATTATCCTAGGTAAAAAAATGACGTTGTTACATGATTACATATCGAGGTAAATACCACAGAAATATTATCAAATTGGATTAGTTGTCAGAACATCTGCAATCTGAAATTCTGCCAAGGTGGGCAGTTGCCCAGTCTGTCCGTCACGGTTGAGGGACCACCTGGCAGCTGGACATCGTGATGAAGATTGTTGGTGCTAAACAAGAATCGCTCTGGATCAGTGCCCCTTTAACAGAGGGTGTGCATGTGTGTGTGTGTGTGTGTGTGTGTGTGGGGGTTAAAGAGTGATTGGGTTTGTTACTGGGGGCTTGTGCATTGGGGTTTGTGTATCGGGGGTGTCTATTATCTTCTACAGTTTTGTTGATGTTGAACCGGGTTCTCCGGTCTCACTATGCTTTTCAAGACTTTGGTTTTACAGCACATAAATTAGGACAAGAAGGGTCGCATATGTTTCCATTCAAAGATGACTGTCACTTTGACACAGCTTGTCGAATATCAGCTGCAGACTTATATATAGTTAGTCAGTGGTAAGCCAGGTTAGTAACTGAGTCATGTTGGCAATTCAGTGTTACCACGAAACCCGATTTCCTCCGGAATTACACTTAAAACGGCAACTAAATAGCTGTGCCGGTACATCTGCCAACCCAGAACTTTCAATAAACTAGTGAATGTTTACGAGTTGGCAAACATAATGAATCAGGGATTGCACATCGACACACAATGCCTCGTTTAGGTATTATGAACTAGCATCAACCTTGCAAAGGTGCTTCGATGACGTCGTCTTTGTGAGTGTGTAAAAGGTCGTTGTTCCCACTGTAACGAACACTGTTTTCGACATGTTTGCCAACAGGAGCACACGCGGAGATACTATGAGAAATAAAACTCCTTCTGTTATACTTGCACGAAAGGTGAATTTGTAATAGAATATATCATTAGAATAGCTTAAAAACATATTTGTAGATATTAAACATATATCACCAATAAATAATGATTTTTTTATATGAGCCCAAAACAAACACAATGCAGTGAGTAGATTTCAATCTTTTTATTATAATAAGTTGTATATCATATGGAATTTTTGTGTAAATGCGGAACTGATGTTTTTATCTATGCAACTGAAATTATTGCTAGTATAACTACTGACCATTGATTTACAACGAATATAAATCACAAATCATTATCCATTAACCCTAAAATAGTTTGCTTGATAAAAGTGTTATTGAAAATTGACCAATGAGCATCGTTCGCTATATTCCATGCGTTGCAAAGATGGCTGTCAGTTTATCGAAAGAACAGAAGAAAACAACATAAAATATTTTGTCTGAAGTAAGTCTTATTTCCCATCTTTAATTGTAACTTGTGTCATCTGTGGGTAATGTTTGTGTTTGTGAACACTAATTAGCTATTTCTGCATGAGGCGAGTTGATAACATCGAGAAAATGGCAAGACTGAATACGGCGCACCCACCCAAATCACGTTCACGTAAACCAGAAAAATACTGCTCAGAACAATTTTAAAAATCATTCGGTAGTACACGAGTTGGATTGCAAATTGCGTTCAGAATGACACCAAAACGGCAGTGTTTTTAAGCTAATACTGAAAAGTTGTTCCGTTCTCTCTCGGATACAAACACACCCAATCTGAAAAGAAGGATTACCATCCCAAGCAGAAATACACTAAAACTAGTCACCATGGTAGCGTTAATATGTAAAAAGCAGATCTGTTCTGTGTCCAGATGTCCCTATGCTGACTTGGCGTGGAATGCATGAAGAATGACTTTGTATGGGAAAGTACATATTCACCCATGCCTCTCTGATGTTAGTTTTGGTTGTGTAAAATCTGTCCTCATCCCCAGTGTTATTCACTGAAAATAGGGTAGTCACATTTGGCATCACAGCTCCTTTGGGAAACCATGCAAAATTAACCCTCAACAAAATATGCAGGTCAGAAGAGGGGACTAAATGGATTGATTGAGTGACCATGCTTAGTGACTTCTTAATTGGAACTGAACAGCTGTGTTGTGGTTAAGTTTGTTTGTATAACTTGTCATTGACATCAACAAAGGGGCGGTGAGGTAGCTGAGTGGGTAAATTGTTTGCTTGTCATGTCGAAGGCCCGGGTTCTATTCCCCACATGGGTACAGTGTGTGAAGACCATTTCTGGTGTCTTCTGATGTGATGTTTCTAGAATGTTGCTAAAATTGACATAAAACCCAACTTACTCACTCACTGACATCAACAAATCAGTGTTTGTGATGTTTTCTTCTGAAAAAAGTGTTTTGACTGAGAATTTGACCAATTTAAGGTAAAGTGTGTTATCTGGGTTTTGATACAATGTCTGCATTATCTGACAATTGGACAGGTGTTATCCTATAGTAGTTTGCAATCTACTTTCAAGTTAAAGACCCAAAATCTCCCCTAGATTTTGAATTTTGCCATTCGCTTGCTCACTCATCCTTGTATGTTTCAGCATCTGCAGCCAGCAACGCACGAGATGGAGGACCGCCTCCTCTCACTCGGACCCGGAGCCAGCGAGACAAGTGGCATGTCCTGGCAGACACCCGTCGCACTACCCGTCGCTATTAAGGAGGTGCGTCAGTCTGTCATGATTAACAAATGGCGTGGTCCTGAAAGAGAGTTAGGCACTTTGACACCAGATTTTGCTGATGTGCTTCAGTCTGTGGTACTTGACACATGGCTAGGTCCCTAAAGATAGCTTGTCACTTAATGTCACCAGATGTTGCTGTTTGAATGGATGTTAACTGTTAAATATATATGTTGAGCAAACCTTGGTTCGTGTTTCTCTTCTTACTAAAACATGTTACATGTTTTGAAGGTTAAAAAAGAAATCAAAAGAAATAGTGGATGATTAATTTCTGTATGAGCCAAATATGTAATTAGTTGGAAGTCTTCAAGACCTTCGATTCAAGAGGAAGAACTAATTTCTTCCACTTTAATCCTTGCGATAGTGGTGATGTTGTCATTGTGACCAAGACATCTTAATGCCTCCTCAAGAACCTTGTGACCAAGATGATGCTTATGTTGTCGATGATAATGTGTGATGTGGTGTCACCATGACCCTGATGTCGCATGGTGTTGTCACCGTGACCCTGATGACACATGATGTTGTCACCATGACCCTGATGACACATGATGTTGTCAGCATGACCCTGATGACAGGTGATGTTGTCATCATGACCCTGATGTCGCATGATGTTGTCACCATGACCCTGGTGACATATGATTATGTCACCATGACCCTGATGACAGGTGATAATGTCGCCATGATCCCGATGACACGTTGTCACCATGACCCTGATGTCGCATGATGTTGTCACCATGACCCTGATGACACATGATGTTGTCATAATGACCCTGATGACACATGATGTTGTCACCATGACCCTGGTGACAAATGATTATGTCGACATGACCCTGGTGACATATGATAATGTCAACATGACCCTGATGACACATGTTGTCACTATGACCCTGATGTCGCATGATGTTGTTACCATGAACCTGGTGACACATGATGTTGTCACCATGACCCTGTAGACACATAATGTTGTCACCATGACCCTGTAGACACATAATGTTGTCACCATGACCGTAATGACACATGATGTTGTAACCATGACCCTGATGTTGCATGATGTTGTCACAATGACCCTGATGACACATGATGTTGTCACCATGACCCTGGTGACATATGATTATGTCAACATGACCCTGGTGACATATGGTTATGTCAACATGACCCTGATGACACATGATGTTGTCAACATGACCCTGATGACAAATGTTGTCACCATGACCCTGATGACACATGATGTTGTCAACATGACCCTGATGACACATGATGTTGTCACCATGACCCTGATGACACATGATGTTGTCACCATGACCCTGGTGACATATGATTATGTCAACATGACCCTGATGACACATGATATTGTCAACATGACCCTGATGACAAATGTTGTCAACATGACCCTGATGACAAATGTTGTCACCATGACCCTGATGACACATGATGTTGTCACCCTGACCCTGGTGAAATATGAATACGTCAACATGACCCTGATGACACATGATGTTGTCAACATGACCCTGATGACACATGATGTTGTCACCATGACCCTGGTGACATATGGTTATGTCAACATGACCCTGATGACACATGATGTTGTCAACATGACCCTGATGACAAATGTTGTCACCATGACCCTGATGACACATGATGTTGTCACCCTGACCCTGGTGAAATATGAATACGTCAACATGACCCTGATGACACATGATGTTGTCAACATGACCCTGATGACACATGATGTAGTCACCATGACCCTGATGACACATGATGTCACCATGACCCTGGTGACATATGATTATGTCAACATGACCCTGATGACACATGATATTGTAACCATGACCGTAATGACACATGATGTTGTAACCATGACCCCGACGACACATGATGTTGTAACCATGACCCTGGTGACATATGATTATGTCAACATGACCCTGATGTTGTCAACATGATCGTGATGTTGCATGATGTTGTCACCATGATCCTGATGACACATGATGTTGTCACCATGACCCTGATAACACAAGATGTTGTCACCATGACCGTAATGACACATGATGTTGTAACCATGACCCCGATGACACATGATGTTGTCACCATGACCCTGGTGACATATGATTATGTCAACATGACCCTGATGTTGCATGATGTTGTCAACATGATCGTGATGTTGCATGATGTTGTCACCATGATCCTGATGACACATGATGTTGTCACCATGACCCTGATGACAAATGTTGTCACCATGACCCTGATGACACATGATGTTGTCACCCTGACCCTGGTGAAATATGATTACGTCAACATGACCCTGATGACACATGATGTTGTCAACATGACCCTGATGACACATGATGTTGTCACCATGACCCTGATGACACATGATGTTGTCACCATGACCCTGGTGACATATGATTATGTCAACATGACCCTGATGACACTTGATATTGTCAACATGACCCTGATGACAAATGTTGTCAACATGACCCTGATGACAAATGTTGTCACCATGACCCTGATGACACATGATGTTGTCACCATGACCCTGGTGAAATATGATTACGTCAACATGACCCTGATGACACATGATGTTGTCACCATGACCCTGATGACACATGATGTTGTCACCATGACCCTCGTGACATATGATTATGTCAACATGACCCTGATGGCACATGTTGTTGTCAACATGACCCTGATGACGAAATGTTGTCACCATTATCCTGATGACACATGATGTTGTCACCCTGACCCTGGTGAAATATGATTACGTCAACATGACCCTGATGACACATGATGTTGTCACCATGACCCTGATGACACATGATGTTGTCACCCTGACCCCGATGACACATGATGTTGTAACCATGACCCTGGTGACATATGATTATGTCAACATGACCCTGATGTTGTCAACATGATCGTGATGTTGCATGATGTTGTCACCATGATCCTGATGACACATGATGTTGTCACCATGACCCTGATAACACAAGATGTTGTCACCATGACCGTAATGACACATGATGTTGTAACCATGACCCCGATGACACATGATGTTGTCACCATGACCCTGGTGACATATGATTATGTCAACATGACCCTGATGTTGCATGATGTTGTCAACATGATCGTGATGTTGCATGATGTTGTCACCATGATCCTGATGACACATGATGTTGTCACCATGACCCTGATGACAAATGTTGTCACCATGACCCTGATGACACATGATGTTGTCACCCTGACCCTGGTGAAATATGATTACGTCAACATGACCCTGATGACACATGATGTTGTCAACATGACCCTGATGACACATGATGTTGTCACCATGACCCTGATGACACATGATGTTGTCACCATGACCCTGGTGACATATGATTATGTCAAGCATGACCCTGATGACACTTGATATTGTCAACATGACCCTGATGACAAATGTTGTCAACATGACCCTGATGACAAATGTTGTCACCATGACCCTGATGACACATGATGTTGTCACCCTGACCCTGGTGAAATATGATTACGTCAACATGACCCTGATGACACATGATGTTGTCACCATGACCCTGATGACACATGATGTTGTCACCATGACCCTCGTGACATATGATTATGTCAACATGACCCTGATGGCACATGTTGTTGTCAACATGACCCTGATGACAAATGTTGTCACCATTATCCTGATGACACATGATGTTGTCACCCTGACCCTGGTGAAATATGATTACGTCAACATGACCCTGATGACACATGATGTTGTCACCATGACCCTGATGACACATGATGTTGTCACCCTGACCCTGATGACACATGATGTTGTCACCATGACCCTGGTGACATATGATTATGTCAACATGACCCTGATGTTGTCAACATGATCGTGATGTTGCATGATGTTGTCACCATGATCCTGATGACACATGATGTTGTCACCATGACCCTGATAACACAAGATGTTGTCACCATGACCGTAATGACACATGATGTTGTAACCATGACCCCGATGACACATGATGTTGTCACCATGACCCTGGTGACATATGATTATGTCAACATGACCCTGATGTTGCATGATGTTGTCAACATGATCGTGATGTTGCATGATGTTGTCACCATGATCCTGATGACACATGATGTTGTCACCATGACCCTGATGACAAATGTTGTCACCATGACCCTGATGACACATGATGTTGTCACCCTGACCCTGGTGAAATATGATTACGTCAACATGACCCTGATGACACATGATGTTGTCAACATGACCCTGATGACACATGATGTTGTCACCATGACCCTGATGACACATGATGTTGTCACCATGACCCTGGTGACATATGATTATGTCAACATGACCCTGATGACACTTGATATTGTCAACATGACCCTGATGACAAATGTTGTCAACATGACCCTGATGACAAATGTTGTCACCATGACCCTGATGACACATGATGTTGTCACCCTGACCCTGGTGAAATATGATTACGTCAACATGACCCTGATGACACATGATGTTGTCACCATGACCCTGATGACACATGATGTTGTCACCATGACCCTGGTGACATATGATTATGTCAACATGACCCTGATGACACATGCTGTTGTCAACATGACCCTGATGACAAATGTTGTCACCATTATCCTGATGACACATGATGTTGTCACCCTGACCCTGGTGAAATATGATTACGTCAACATGACCCTGATGACACATGATGTTGTCACCATGACCCTGATGACACATGATGTTGTCACCATGACCCTGATGACACATGATGTTGTCACCATGACCCTGGTGACATATGATTATGTCAACATGACCCTGATGACACATGATGTTGTTACCATGACCGTAATGACACATGATGTTGTAACCATGACCCCGGTGACACATGATATTGTAACCATGACCCTGGTGACATATGATTATGTCAACATGACCCTGATGTTGCATGATGTTGTCAACATGATCGTGATGTTGCATGATGTTGTCACCATGATCCTGATGACACATGATGTTGTCACCATGACCCTGATGACACATGATGTTGTCACCATGACCGTAATGACACATGATGTTGTAACCATGACCCCGATGACACATGATGTTGTCACCATGACCCTGGTGACATATGATTATGTCAACATGACCCTGATGTTGCATGATGTTGTCAACATGATCGTGATGTTGCATGATGTTGTCACCATGATCCTGATGACACATGATGTTGTCACCATGACCCTGATAACACAAGATGTTGTCACCTTGACCCTTATGACATTTCATTTTATCTGACCTCACACATAAATGTCGCTTCTGACCTTCCGCTCTCCGGGCGGACGCTCAAACCACTACACCACAGAAGCGGTATATGTCAGCATGACCCTGATGACACATGATGTTGTCACCTTGACCCTGATGACATTTGATGTTGAATGATGTTATCCATAACATGTCATGAAGACAGTGTGACCCTCATGGCATGTGATGTTGAACGATGTTATCCATGATGACATGTCATGAAGACAGTGTGACCCTCATGACATGTGATGTTGAACGATGTTATCCATGATGACATGTCATGAAGACAGTGTGACCCTCATGGCATGTGATGTTGAACGATGTTATCCATGATGACATGTCATGAAGACAGTGTGACCCTCATGGCATCTGATGTTCACAGATGAATATACTTGTGTTGGGAATTGGTAGAAATCTCGCAATTCTGTTCTGTACGCTGTTCTGGTTCATTACCATCGAGCAATCATCTAAAAAAAGATTGTTTAAGCGTCATTTTTCAACTTTCCTGTTCTGGGTATTCATATAGATAAGTATAAAGTTTTTTGTTTTATATAGAAACTGCGCAAATTTCACATCCAATGTAAAATGATGCAACTTGATCCTTTAAAGTGATGACTGGCAGATCATGAAACTTAACTTCCCAGAGTCTTCTAGAAATATTCATTCATGACCTTTCAGTAAGTGAAGTGATTTTTCAGGCCCCGACAACTTCTAAGATATGTTCCATCGCCAAGTGTTTCAAACACAGTAAACAGTAGTTCCAAAATCGTTTGTGTTCGATTATGAGAAAATGTGATTGATTGCTTGGTTGTTTGGTCACTGTGACCAATGTTCGATTATTTCAATTGGAACACCACAACAATATACATAATCAGTTTTGTATTTTGAAATAAAATTGTGGACCTTACTCTGATCTATGACAGAGTAAATATCTTTTTCTGGGAACTTTATGCGGGAACCTCCATGTTTTTCAGGATTCTGATGAAGGTGATGAGGAGATTGTCGTTGACGGCAGAGACAAGCCACTGGGTGCCCTCATAACTGAGGGTATAGCTGCTGGGCCCTCTCATGTATCGCCCCCGGCCATCCCTGGACCAACTCCTGTCAACCAGAACTTCGTGGCTGAGCTGAACGCCAGAGCTGAAGCAATAGTGGAAAGGACGATGGGTGAGTCCATCCACTCACTCACTTCCACTCACTCACTCAGGCTCACTGACGTGTTTGACACGTCATTGTATCCCAATTGCGTAGATTGATGCTCATGATATTGATCATTGGATTGTCTGATCCAGACTCGATTATTTACAGACTGACACCACACAGCTGGAATATTGCTGAGTGCGGCGTTAAACAGCAAACTAACTAAATACAACTCACTGTGGGGTTCGATTCCACACGTTGGTACAGTGTGTGAAGCACATTTCTAGTGTCCCATGTCGTTAGATGACTGGAATCTAACTGAAAGGTGTAAGTGTTGCTCACTCACTCACTCACTCACTCACTCACTCACTCACTCACTCACTCACTCACTCACTCACTCACTCACTCACTCACTCACTCACTCACTCACTCACTCACTCACTCACTCACTCACTCACTCACTCACTCACTGATGTCTTCTCTTAAATCCTTGATTTTAAACATTTTATGAAACAGTAGTCCCTAGTATTGTTTTTGGATATCTTACCTTATATGCTTTGTCAATCATATGCCAATCATTGCATGGGATTTAATTATTCAGGATTAACCGGTGGGGAGGATGACATGTGGCACTCAGCGGAAGAGGACATCGATGTTGTATCTGTTGACACTGCCGCTGCTGCTGCTGGTGTCCGATCTGGGCCTAGCACACGGAGTAAGTCATCATTACAGAAATAACAGTCTGCAAAAATGTTTAGATGAACATTGTTTAATGAATGAATAACAAAGTGAAAGTAAATTTTTAGAAAGGAAAGGAAATGGTTGTAATGCCAATGTCCCATTGAAACATCTGTTTGAAACTTTGAAGTGTTGAATGAATACACAATGCAATTTAGAAAGTACAGATTCTAGTTGTAGAATCCCCTGTGGCTGAGCCGATTAGGAGGCTGAATTTGTGTGCTAGTGATTAGGTGCCTGAAACTGAAGGTGTGGGTTTGAATCCAGGAAACGACTCAAACCAACAAACTACTAGAATTGGTACTTTGGTGAAAAAGTGAATTCCCAAATAGAACATAAGTCACTTTGAAGTATTGTTTGACTTTTGTCATTGTATTTTCTCTGACCACCAATTTTGTGTGTTCATCTGTGCAAGGATTGTCAGGAACATTTGCTCACTGTGCCAGTGGTGCCGTTGCTATTCTATGGATTTTATGTATGAAACCCATTCTTGTCATCATATCTCTTCAATATTGCTAAAAGCAGATTTAGAACAAAGTCACTTAAGACGTGTCAAGTCATTTCACCCAGTGGGGATTCCAGGTTAGCAAGAAGGGGGTACCAAGCAACCTATGCTTTGTGTAAAATGCAAATAAATGTATTGTCTGGTGCAGACTCAAGCATTTACATACCACTGTCATATAGCTTGAATATTGTTCTGTCCAGTGTTAAACCACTCAGCAATCTGAAGTCATTCAGAGTTTTACTCTTTTCTTATCTAGGTGCTGCTGGGAATTCTGTTCAACCTAGAGATGGGCACAGTGGCACTCTAAGTGAGAATTTCCGCAGCTATCTTGGTCATTTGTCCAATCTGACTGAAGATTCACACCAAGGACAAGTCTTCTACCCAGACTCTCAACCAGGGCTTGGTATCTGCTCCTCAGATGATGAGAACCATGGCAACCGTGAATCTTGGCTGAACCCTCAACACAAGCACCGCTCCCATCCGCCCGCCTCCGACATGCATGTTGGGGGAAAACAGCCAGGAGCATCCTGTCATTAGGGACGTGCTCTTCAACTGCGAGTCCATGGACGATTCTGAGTCGGATGATGTGTTTCAACCATCCTCCTCCAGTGACATGTTCGAGCCCACGAACCCCTACTCATTGTTTAACCTCCCGAGACCCCAGGTTCTACGGTGTATGAAGGAAAAGGAGAATGGGAAGAAAGGTGATATGTGTAGAAACAGTTCTGCTAGAAGAATTGGATGTGATTCACGACAGCCTGAGTCAGCCATGACACAGAGTACTGCCAGTCACGTGACAGAAGTAGACAGTATCAGTGATGGCGACTCGGATGTGGACATCGTGTCCTTGCCGTGTTCCGAGAATGCCCAGAGGTCTCTGCCAGCAAACGACGAGTGCAGGATTTCTAAAGTTACTCTGTCAGATCAGAGAGATCATGTGACTCTTTCGGAAGATGGTGGTGTTGCAACGTCAGGTGTATCACCATCGCCTGTTATCACCCAAAACATCGACATGGCATCTGTTGGAGAGAGCCATAGCTACCTCAGTAACGGTGTGTCTCAGGATCAGCGAAAGAGAAAGTGTGTGTCCTTGAAACGCGGGTGTCAGGAAAACGTGGCTGGCCACACCAGTGCAGACAGATCAGGGGAGGCTGCAGCCAGCGGGTACAGACAAACAGCTGCTCCTAATGGTGCTCTCTTCGTTGACCCTGACCCCACCGGATTTCGACGTTACCATGGTGATCGGCAGCAGAGGACGTCGCCGATTATCCCTGATGTGCATCTGACAGATGGATCAGATGATAGTGATGTTGAGGTTGTCAAGATAGAGCCAAGGTACCAATATTATCTTTTACCTGTTGTCAGTTTAATGGAGGATCTATTATCACGTCAATTGAGTTATTTAATCACAGTTCTGCAGACAATCCTCACTTTTACATTGTGTCAGAGATCACGGTGTGGAATAAGTTTCCTTTATTCCACACACTTGTCATAATCAGTGAGGTCACATCCAATGATTGCACAGCTGGCTGTATACTTGTACTTGACAGGTAGCATTGTACAGGGTTGCATCCCTTGGCCATCCAAGGAACCATTGATTTCGGGTTCAATTATCTTATTAGCATTGATCATGATTTAGGGCTGGCTAAAATTATCGATAATCAGAAATATCATCGATAGAAAAATTTATTAATGATTATTGATAAGAAAATTGTGTTATCGATAATATCATACATTAACATTTGTGATAAAATTGTTTTTAATTTACTGACACAATCTACAAAGTTAGGTCTTTATTCATAGACTATATCTAAATTATGTTCAGTGATCCGTGAAAAACATACCCACCAATGAATCTGAGTGATGTGAAATATATACATCTTTTTCATTTTTGCTCAAAGTCACTTCTCCTATATTTATCGATTATGTTTATCACTATTTTAGCATATATTTTATTTTGTTCATCATTGTCACTGTTTATCACTGTTCTTGATTGTTTATCATGTTTGTAATGGTCACTGTTTGTCATGGTCTGTCATTGTGTATCATGTTTTTAAGAACTGTGATTATCATATTACTAAAGATCACTGTTTATTATTGTTTATCATTGTGACTTATATATGTCATGTTTATTATGTTTATCATTGTGTTTTATATATTTCTTTTTCCATGATAAACCTTGTATTGATGTTTATGAAAGTCTGATTTTCTTCCAGACCCAGGAAGAGACTTGAATCATCAGGAAGAGCCACAGTTGTTGTTGATCTCACAGAATCAGATGATGGTACAACATATTTTTGTCAAACAAATTCTTTTCCTGCAGAAATGATTGATACTGACATCTTGTAAGCAAGTTCTTCTATCCTTCATGCATATAGCTGGAATATTGCGGAGTGCGGCGTAAAACTAAACTCACTCACTCACTATCCTTCATGCCTTCTACAGGCCTGGTCACCCAGTGTAGGTTACATGGCATTAAACTCAGATGGCCTTGTCATGTAGGGTTGTAAGTCACTGGATCTCGCCATAGCATTGATTGGAGTACCTTATTTCTAGACCCGAGAAGATCCAGGGTTGAGTTGGTCTTCACCAACCCATGCTTGTCCTAAGAGGTGACTAATGCTTGTCCTAAGAGGTGACTAACGGGATCGGGTGGTCAGACTCACTGACTTGCTTGACACACGTCATCGTATCCCGCCATATAGCTAGAATATTGCTGAGTGCAGCATTAAACAACAAACCAACCAACAACCTCTCAGGATGCAGTATTTGGAAAAACATTACATTTTGAGCATTATGCATTGTTTCATACTGCATGATATCACTTCCGGTGAAAGAGGTTGTGGCAGGTTACATAGTGTGGATACTATGTAGGGGAGAATTAAGTGCACCCTGCTCAACACGGGGTTTTTTTTTGTGAGAGGTAACCATGGTTTTGTGTGAGGTAACCATGGTTTTGAGAGAGGTAACCATGGTTTTGTGTGAGGTAACCATGGTTTTGTGAGGGGTTACCATGGTTTTGTGTAAGGTAACCATGGTTTTGTGTGGTGTTTCAGAGACCAGTGCTTCCCAATCTTGTAAGGTGGTTGCCCAGGCCGGGCCAGAACCCAGTACATCTAGTCAGCCAGGGACGTCCTCACAGGCCCTCCCCAACGCCGCTCAACAAACACCAAGTGTTGCTGTCACCCAGCCCTCGCCACATGCTCAAGTTCCACGATCTTACTCCGCCAGCAGTCATCACCATTTCCACCCCCGGCCCCCACCTGCCCATTCCCAGCACGTCCATCACCCCCAGCCAGCACACACATGCCGACTCCATGACCACACCCCCTGCCAGGACCACACCTATACATGCAATGGGGTGAGTACATGTGCACTTCGAAGCAAATTTGTGTTGAATAATTTAGGAAATGCAAAAAAAGCTTGTTCATTTTATGTATTTTGCAAAGGTCTGTTTCATACTGGGATTATAGACTATAGTTACCACTTTTTGACTTGACTATAGTTTCAATGTGCATTCTGATGAACCTTTGAATCAGAATGAGACCTGTGTGAAGCCCATTTATGGAGTCCTCTGTCGTAATATTGTTGGAATATGGCAAAAAGCGTCATAAAAACTAACTCAGTCACTCGAATCCGACCTTTTAGTAAATAAACTATAAAATTGACCATAACTGCCTCCAACTTGGCATGGTTGGCTCAATAACCTAAGGTCATGTTATTCGCTGTGCAGAGTTGCATCCCTTGGGCTTGCCAAAAACCTATGGGAGTGGGTTCGACTCACTGTTGATCCATATGATTTAGATTTGTCAGCATCATACCTGTGGTACAGAGTTTCAGCAGTGTGGTAGACAATTGGGTAAAGAGCATATATGTGACAAATCTGCTGAAGTTAGGCAACTGAATAGTTGGATTCGTGATCTTGTCCGGCAGTTTGGCTTCCAAGAGCGTCTGGGCTCTGTCCCACAGTGAAGCACATGTAGCACAATGTTGAAATATTCCAAAGTCCACCCAGCAGTGAAAAGCAATTGGTTGTATGCTCCTCATGGAACTGAGAATGAAAATAGAATACACACTGAGCCACTGACTAGGGTAATCATCATCATCATCATCATCATCATCATCATCATCCTTACTGCCTTTTCCACAGTTAGAAGGGCTGTTAGGAAGCCTGGTGGTTAAAGCGTCAGTCATCACACTGATTACCTCAGTTCGATTTTGTTACATGGGTGCAGTGTTTGAAGCCCATTTCTAGTGTCCCCTGTCATGATGTTGCTATGATATTGTTGAAAGCAGTTTAAAAGCAAACTCACTCAGTCCCAGTTAGACTTGTTGAACATTGTGTCTGACATGTGAATGTCTGTGTATGTTGCAGCACCAGACAGTGCCAGAGTGCAGTGAGCGGGGTTCCTGTGGACTGCACCACCATGAGCGTGGTCACTGCCGCCTCCACGCCATGACCCCCCACAGCCATGGCCACCATGGCCACACCCATTCCCCACACCAGACTCACCGGGGTTTGCATGGACCATGTGTTGGTAAGTGTTTCACATTGCAAACTGGAGAGTGTTTCACATTACAAACTAGATAGTGTTTCATATTGCAAACAATTGAGTGTTTCACCTTGCAAACTGGTGAATGTTTAAGGAAAACCAGGTTCTATGGATAGTCAACTTCTTTATTACAATGAATGTGACATTTTGGTGTAGATACTAACACCATTATGACGCAGGTGATACTAACACCGTTATCATCACTTGCTTGATAATGGTGTTAGTATCTACACCGAAACGTTGCGTTCATTGCAATAAAGTTGACTATCCATAGAACCTGGTTTTCCTTCATCTTTACAATTTCTAAAATGCCTCTCAAAGAAGTAGTGAGTGTTTGACATTGCAAACTGGAGTGAGTTTCACATGGCAAACTAGTGTTTCACATTGCAAAATCGAGATTGTTTCACATAGCAAACAAGAGAGTGTTTCAAATTACAAGCTAGAGCGTGTTTCACATTGCAATCAAGTGTTTTGTAGTGCATATTTTCTGTTTCTTTTATTAAGCTCTCTGATGATATTCAGTGTGATATTCTGAGACTGAGTTTAATGTCTATCAATCTGAAGTTGTCTGTACAAGAAACAGTTACATTATGTCAGTGTATGAAATAAGCCCAAACCCATCCAGACATCTGGGCTAGTAACTTCAAAAACTCACCAGCCCAGAAGAGGTTTAACAAGTCAGTGCCAGTGGGCATGTTATCAGAATATCTTTTGTTCACCCGTCCATCGGGCTGGCTAGCTGTACAATTAGACCATCGGGTAGAAATCTATCCTGTCTCAGCGGTCGGACGGGTCTTATTTCATACACTGATTATGTGCCTCGTATTGAATTGAGGGACAGTGGGGCAGTGCTTAAAGTGTTTGAAGCACACTGAAGACCTAGGTTTGATTCCACACATTTGTATGAAGCCCACTGTGATAATGCTTGAATATTGTTAAAACTTTTACTAAAACTTACTGTCTCTCTCACTCCCGTATGGAAAATGGGGTGCTTGGATGATCAAATCTCTCTGGGATCCAGGGCAAAATGTGCCCCCTTCACCCGATTCTGAGTCAAAAGAGGTGCTTAGAGTGAATTTCTGTGGTGAATGTTGGTTAGAACTGGCAACCTGTTCTGTATGGAAGATGTGTATTAGTGGATATCAGGCTCAGTCACTTGATAGATGGACTGTACTTGTAGCCCAAAGACATGGATTGTTGCTAATAACATCAATCGACAGATTATGGTTGGTTGTTTGTTTGTTTAATGCCACACGCAGCAATATTACAGCTATATGGCGGTGGCCTGTAAATAATCGAGTCTAGACCAGACAATGCAGTGACCAACAGCATAAGCATTGATCTACGCAATTGGGATGTGATGACATTTGTCAACCAAGTCAGCCTCTCGTAGGTCGCCTCTTACGACAAGCATGGGTTGCTGAAGACCAATTTTAACCCAGATTGTATGGTCATGACTTGTTTGTTTACAGTCAGGCATCATTGAGCCTAAATAACACACACATATATGCACACATACTTCCAATTGGTTGGCTCTGCAGAATCTCTGTGATATTGTTTCTTTGTTGGTCAGAACCATACAGATGCTTATGGTGTTGACAATCTTCCCGGGGCGAAGGAGTTAACTCTCTGACTGGGATTGACACTGACCGTATATCTTACTTTCTACATACTAAAGTACATATTCATGAGTGTGGAGCCCATTTCTGGTGTCCCCTGCCGTGATATTGCTGGAATTTTGCTAGCATCAAAGCGGCATCAAACCATACTCACTCACTCACTCACTCACATATGCATGCTGAGGAACTGCCATTTGTAGTCATGGATAACAATGTAAAACAAAAACTACTTCTATGTTTAGGTCATTATTTCAATCAATTTTAAATTTAGACATAATTTATCTGTGAATTTCTGTGTAGGTTTTACATTTCAAACATTAATTGGACTAGTTACTTATGTTTTTCGAGTATACCTGAACACAGAAGAAATATGGCAATAGCCGGTGTTTGAAAAGCATATTGCAGTTTATGCAATACTCAAACACTGTCGCATCAAGTTTGTTGAATAAAAATTTAGTTTTTCTCAAAAGTGAAAGTTTGGTCCCTCAGTTGTGTCAATCCTTGGACAGTTTGAAGTATTTACCCAAGTCTCTTCAGGTTTGACACAAGAGTATGTGACTGTACTGTGCAGTCCTGACAGATATTTTGATACTAATGTGTTGTTATTGTCCTTCCAGGGTCCTGCAACCACGTGAACCATGTCCACCGCCCCACTCCCCAACCCCCGCGTGCCCATATACACCATCACCACTACCACCCAGCAGCATTTGCCATGCAACCTCACAACGTAGCCATGCCCATTGCTGCTGCTCACCCCCCTCCCCACCACCACCCCCCACCCCCATCAACGCCTGCTCCATCACCACCAAGTGCCTGACCTCGCCTGTGAACCTGGTCCCCCTGGTCCCATGGGAGTCTACAGCCACAGGGACATGCCAACACCCAACCACATGCACCCTGCCCCGCCCCCGCATCAACCAATGCCTGAGGGTATGGGAATGCACCCTTCAGGGGCTCGGAACTCTTGTGCTATGAGTGTCAACACGGTGCCCCCTCACACGGAAGTAGTCGTGCAGACAAACCAAAGGTGAGTCGCAGCATTTTTCCTTATCCTGACTCATGCTAATTATGCTTGTCTCCTTCCTCTTGCGAATGATAGTGGAACACTTGAAATCCCTTGAAGTTCCCTTTTAAAAAAGTGGACGTAAAATAGGCTGTTGCAAACTTGCATCATATGATGTTGTCTTCCGAATATTCTGATAATATTGTACGTGAACTATTGTAATGAAATGATTGTTGAATTTACTCAGAAAGCTCAATGTTAGGTCTTTATTCATGGGCTGCCCCCAAAGTATGTTCAGGACGGCGTTTTGTTGGTATTCCAAAAAATACATATGTATCCACTCATCACTGTTGATTTTCTTTCAGATTTTTTAGTCAGTTTTGCTCAAAGTTACTTCTCAGATATTTATTGATAATCGATAGATATTCATCTGACAATAATCAATCTCTATGATCGATAGCCTGCCCTATCAATTATGTGATGTCAATCAGAGGTACAAATAAGCTGCGTATCTGCATAAATTGCGCAATCTTTTATGTGAAAACTCAATTCCTATTAAGTCTATTGCGAAAAGTACGCTTAAATTTTGGTAAATGCTCGATAAATGTGATCTTAAATGCATACACACGAAAATGTCAAATCTTAGCTTGCGTACCGGTGGATAGATAACATAACTGAGGTATACTAAGAGGTTCTATTTCAGGACATGAACTTGACAACTTGACAATCTTTCTTATCGTTGCTCATACTACAGATCAAATATAAATAAGAAACACTTACATTTAAACTTTTTTGATATTTTTAAAATTAATGGAAAACGGCAAAATACCCAATTGAGTTTGAGTGAGGTGAGAACAAGTTATTTGGTTACTCAAAGTAAAATTGGGATACCCAATGGAGATGAAGGAAAGCGAGTACATAACTCAATGACTCAAAAAGTTACTGTACCTCTTGTCTCTGATGCAGACACTTTTTAGCGAAGGACTCACACAGACACTGTTTTAACATATGTTGTATTTGGGATTACACTTTCTTAGTAAAGTGGGGCGGTGGGGTAGCCTAATGGTTAAAGTGTTGGCTCGTCACGCTGAAGACCTGAGTTCGATTCCCCACATGGGTACAATGTGTGAAGCCCATTTCTGGTGTCCCCCGCCGTGATGTTGCTGGAATATTGCTAAAAGCGGCGTAAAACCCAATTCAGTCAATAAGTCAGTTCTTAGTAAAGTACAGATTCTAGTTCTTTAGGTTTTTTTTCTAGTACTTCATCTAGGATTGGAACCCACCCACTCAGCTGCGGTGGCAAAGTAGGTTAGGAAGCTGACTTTGTGTGTTGGCGATTAGGTGCCTGACATCGAGGATGTAGGTTCGAATCTTGGATAGGACTCGACCCTCCAAAAGTACCAAAATCTGTAGGTTACTAAGAAAGTGTAGTCCCAAGTATAACATGTTAGATTTGACCACTTTCTAAATGGCATTGTGTATTTCTAGACACTGTTTTGTCTGACACTAACACATACTGTTGTTGTTGTTGTCAGTGGTGGCCACACATCTGGTGCAGCTGGCCCAACACCGCCCCAGCATCAACACCTGCACCACCATCTTCACCACTACCACCTGAACCCAACAACTCGAGGAGGGGCTGCCCACAACCCGTGCTGGCCCATCAGGGTACCGTCATTTCTTATGGTGAGATGTCTACAGGAGATTTTTGCTGCATTTTATTTGATGAATACCTTTGGAGATCCTTACCTGTTAACTGGTTGCGTCAAAGTCGCTGCAGAGTAATCTCCCTTTAGTGATTTCAATTAACATGTCAACATGTTTGATTTTGTTCTGCTCTTGACAACATATGTGATTTTGTTCTGCTCTTGACAACATATGTGATTTTGTTCTGCTCTTGACAACATATGTGATTTTGTTCTGCTCTTGACAACATATGTGATTTTGTTCTGCTCTTGACAACATATGTGATTTTGTTCTGCTCTGTTTTAGCCTCCTATGCCAGAAATGCCACCTTTCCCCCCATTTCCTGCATTTCCACGGTTACCAAGAAATATGCAAATGAGGCTTGGTGGTATGGTGTACCATGGACCTATTGTTGAGGTAGGTTCAGCATTCCTCATTAAATCTGTCTTTACAAGTCCTCTGTGTTGCCAGTTATTGAAATGGATATGTATCAAAATACTGACATATTAAAGTTTTTGTGTTACTTGTTGGATATGCTTACATGAGTGACAAGTATTAAGTATGAGTATTAAGAAATTTAGAAAGTAGCAACTGGTTTCTTCGAATGAAAAAGCGAAATTATTTTTCCTTATCCTGACTCATGCTAATTATGCTACTCATGCTAATCAATCTAATTATGCTTGTCTCCGTCCTCTTGCAAATGATAGTGGAACACTTGAAATCCCTTGAAGTTCCCTTTTAAAAAAGCGGACGTAAAATCACTCACCCAAGAGTAGCGTCCCTTTCCGCCCCTTTCCTCACATCTCTCCTTCTTGTCACTCTTTCCTTCTTTGAGAGGACGGTTGTGAGAGCACCTTGGTCCCTATACGGCACATATCCTTTTATATTTTCGGACCTTACATCAAAATTATTGCTGTATACGGTGGTTTTTAGGATTATATTCTACATTATGGTTTGAAATTTGATCTAAATTTTCCGTTGTTTGCCATGTGTTTTCGTCATGTTACAATTGATGAGTGTCTGCGGCTGACCCTTATTTATTATGTCCTAATTGCACTGTTTCATGTTCTTTCAGCTCTCGCTGTGACTTTTGTGTAACTTTAAATTCGGTTGAATTTACTAATTACCTTTTTTCCAACCAAAGACGTTATAAGGACTGGGTACGTAGGTATTCATAAATAAGTCATGTCTAAATCGGGTGATTGCGCTGATAATGTGTAAGCCACATTCTGATAACCGCTGGTGTTAACCACTGCTGCAGATATTCATTTGAGTGAATTGCTGAAGTTTCTTAGGAGCAGGTCGATGTACGAGGTGAACGCCAGAGGCCATAAGAGATCGTCTACTGAGCTGACCTCATCGCAGATAAAGAAGGCCAAATCTTCAGCTTCACAGAAAAAGAAGGCTACTACTATGAAGACTTCAGCGAAGTCTAAGATCAGCTCTACTCAGAAGATGAGGTCTTTCTCAGCCGAGATTGTTCTTCCGGAAGAAGCAGATGTTTATGATGATCAACCAATCCTCATACCTGAAGTCACCATCGTCAGCAAGAAGACAAAGCCTGCTTCTACAGCTACATCGGCATTGGTATCAGTGCAGACATTGACAGAAGACCTACTATCAACGCAGACATTGACTGAAGACTTTCAACGCAGACATCAGGTACCAGAGATAGCAGCAGCGTCAACTCTTCACGAGTGCAGCGAGCCTCAGATGACATCTCTTCAGTATCAGATGCATCATCCCTGCAACAGTCTCTTCAGACAACGCAGAACTTCAACCCGGGACTGTTCATGCAACAGTTTACAGACCAGATGATGTTGATGATGGAACGTTGCTTCGCTCAAGAGAAGGCTGCTATGAAGACCACTACAACGTATACTAGCCTGCATGAAGGCTCTACAGTCTCCCCACCACATCTGGATGAAGAAGGAAGCCTACGTGAAGGCTCTTGGACACGACAGTCTTTCCCATCTGAAGTAGACGCCCCAGAGAGTGTTGCTAAGAAGTCTCCACGCAGGAAGGAATCAAGGGGTTCTCCGAACCCTACAGACGTTGCAGATATGAGTCGTCATCTCCATAGGACTCTGACGCCCATCAAGAGCCTGCACGAAGACACTCCTACAGAGGGGAAACTACGTCCAGGAATCCATCTTCGCGAAGATCTAGGGAAATATCTCAAATCTCCAGGAAAGATTAAAGATTACATCGGGATCGTTCGCCTGCGCAAAGCTCATCTTATAGAACAACCTATAGAGACTCAAATCGTCGTGCATCCTTAGAGTGAGAAATGTCTAAATCAGAGGATGAAGGTGAAGGCGTCTTCTCCGATAATTCCTGGATCGCCAATGGCTTGGACGTTATCATCACATTCTAAGGACACAGATGAGGCGTTTACCTACAAGATGTCCAAAGATGATTTCGACACACTCACCTCTCCACCGACCAACCCGATCTCTCAGGTACCAGACAACCTTAATGCAGGTTTTGATAAAGCCACCAAGTCGCAGAGTCAGCACATCCCGACATTCAACGCCAGGAAATTCCCTCTACATAGGGTGGAACCCTTCCTGAAGGCTCCAGAGGGTGATGATGACAATAGGATTACCACCGATTCCCGTCAAAGAACTTACAAGATTGAAGATAAGAAGTTAGTGCAGCTGGATACAACCACCAGACGTACTTTCTTCAGATTAGCCAGATCGAGGGCTATCAAAGAAACTCTCATCTCGAAGTTCCAGAATTCCTCGTCCGAAGAAGACCGGATGATATACTCCGCTCTACTTATGCAGAAGAGAGACCATCAATTTGTGTCGGAGCACCTAGCATCCACCTCAGCGCGCTAGACTTTCCTGAGAAGACAAGGCTTATTGTCAGCATGCAGTTGGAGTGAACGCTTGACCAAGTCTCTATACAGAACACCATGGTCAGCATCTTACATCTTCGGAGGAGGAATTGAAGAAGTCACCAGAGAAGTCTCTCACGACTCTGGGGAAGCTATGATGACTAAATCCAGCTAATGTGATTCGTCAGACGCCCCAACGCTACTCCAACAAATCTAAGTTTGCAGGAGTCCGGAGAGCCAGAGAAAAGAAGTATTCTAGTATGAAAGGAGGAAGAGGCTCCTAGAGGTAACCCCGGAAGAGGCCGAACACCCAGGGGTGCAAGAGGAAGCAAGCATTGAAGGCCAGATTCAGAACAATTGGAGTCTTCAGCCGTTCCTGTACAACCTTCGACAGTGGGTGGACGTCTTCAACGGTACTGGGAGAATTGGGGGATACTACAGACGACTACGTATCCCAGATACTGCGCAGAGAGTACAAGATACAGTTGGAAGCCACTCGGCCGCTCACAAGCAACCCCGTGGCCTTCAACTACGCAACCGACCAGATAGAGAAACTGGACAATGCTATCAAGACCCTACTCGACAAAGAGGCAGTAGAAGAGATAGATCAAGATCTCATCACGCCCGGGTTCTACTCCCCAATTTTCCTGGTACCGAAGAAGAATTCCAAGGAGAAATTTCGGCTCATCTACAACATGAGGAAGTTCAACTGGGATTATCTACGCAGACCAGCAAAATTCAAGATGATACATCTTCCTCAGCTCAGACACCTCGTTCGTCCATCAGACTACCTCGCCAGTAGAGATCTGCAAGATGCGTACCTCCACATCCCAATACATCCAGACTCAAGGAAATACCTACGTTTCCTTTTTCCACGGACAACACTTCCAGTGGAAGGTTCTACCGTTTGGAATATCGTCGGCCCCCTGGTTTTTTTACTCAAGTGACCAAGCCCATCGTCACATATCTACATCGTCAAGGTCTACACAGTGCTTTCTACCTGGACGTCGGGATTCAAGCTCATCAAGATCCCAGTCAACTCAGACTGCAACTAGACTTCACCATCAGGCTGCTCACTCAACTAGGATGGCTAGTGAATCTCCTTAAGTCGGAATGGGAGCCGAAACAAGATTCCTAGGAATTCGACGTGTCACACCAGTGAATCGTATAGTCGTTCAGAGGACGTTGGGTCAAAATACAACAGATGATATCTCAAGCATTGCTCTCTCTGTTGACACTCGTGCTTGGCAAAGCATGCTCGGTCTACTCACCTCAGCTCAAGCCATGACTCGCAGAGGGAGATTACAGTTGCGCCCACCACAAGTATTTGTGAACGCCCACCTAGACAGCCTAGATCCGTTAATACTACCGGACAGTCTGAAACCATATCTCCTATGGTGGACTCGGAAGTCGAACATTTGCGGAGGGACCTTTTTGTCAGAGCCGGTTTGCAACACTCATATCTACGTGGATGCCTCCCTACAAGGATGGGGTTCGCACTTCAACAACGAAGTGGCAGCAGGGAAGTGGTCGAGTCAGGATCAGAAATCTCACATCAATCTGTTGGAGATGAAAGCAGTAATCAACGCTTTACAACATTGGTCCAGCGTACTAAAGAACGCACAACTCATTGTACACACGGGCAACTCCACAGTGGCATTTTACATCAACAAGCAAGGGTCAACAAGATCAAGTCTGCTACAACACAGCTTTCTCCTGTTCAGCATAGTCGACGACCTGAACATCTACATGAAGGCAGGCCACATTCCTGGAGCAAAGAATGTCATAGCACTACAACCATATCGGAATGGATGTTGCATCCACTACATTCCATCATCAGAAAGACGGAATAATAGATGTTGCATCCAGAAGCAGCTCCAATGTTCATCAGACAGACTTTAGGATCCCCACTACTAGACCCAAGTAATACAGAAAACAAAACTTCAACGTTGCAACTGACAGCTACCAGGGTATGGTTTCCCATCCTCATGCTCTCACAAGAGTGGTCGAACCTACTCTTCCATCCACACACCAAGCAAGCTCATGGGAACCCGACACTGTTCCAGCTACACGCGCGGAGCGATCAAAGCTTGCCTGAAGACTAGAGGGTACTCCGGGCCAGAGCAGAAAGCAGTGACACTAGCTCGTCACGCAGATCAACTCCCAACTTGTACAACAACAAGTGGCAGAGATTTGAACAATATGCAAAGAGGAAAGGCTTTTCATCCTGAAAGCAACACATCCTCAAGTGGCGGAATACTTATGTCATCGACTTGAAACTTTAAGAGGTTCAACACTTTCAACGGACCTTGGCTGCCCTCAGTACAGTTAGCAAAAGAAATTTAAGGCTCCTGCCTGGGATCTCAACGTAGTTTTACAACATCTCACTAGTGATGCCTACGAGCCTCTAGAACGGACATCCTTTGAACTGCTAACTCAGAAAACGCTGTTCCTGATCGCCCTAGCAACAGCTGCAAGGATGTCAGAAATACATGCTCTGGACTTTGAACGAACACGATTTGAATCAAGACATCGTGACATCATACATCTAGGACTGAGATGGGATTTTATCGCCTAAGAACCAACTGCCTGGCCAGCCTGACAGACAGTTCCACATCCCAGCACTATGTACAGTCCTTGGGCCACAGGATATGCAGAATCCATCCTTATGCCCAGTCTTAAAGCACCCAGCACTTAAAGTGTACTTACAAAGAACCAAAACAATGAGACGAAAATTCAAGCACATATTCATCCCCTTATCCACTGAGACCTCACGGAAGTCTCTCAGACAACGATATCGATCTGGATGAGAGCCGTTATACTAAGGGCCTATAAAGCAGCAGGACTTGAGCCTCCACGAGCCTCCAATACACACAAAGTCAGAGCCCTGGCGTCAACACTTGCTCTGCATGGAAACTGCGCGATTACAACTATAATGGAGGGCTGCTTTTGGAGATCGCTCACGGTGTTTGCCAACCACTACCTCAGAGACATTGCCACTGAAGACATCTCAGGCATTCACCAGTTTGGGCCACTTGTTGTAGCACAACTAACGGTTCCACAAAGGCGCTGAGAAAATCTCACCCCTTCTATCACGAGACTTGTGAAAACCAACGCTCTGGAGAGCAATGGCTATAAGTCCATGCACACGTCTAGGACAGACTAGCATGAGTGATAGACCCTGTACTTGTATAGGACATACTCGTACATGAAGAAGGGTCGCATCTCCACTTGATGCGCCCATCAAGAGATGGAGTTGCAATAGATAACTAATGGAATATTAGTATATCTAAAATCCACACCAAAAATTCAAGAGAAGTTTCGGAAGAAATCTGACAAGTTGTGGTCCCCCCAGACTCATCAGACAGAAGTTGAAAGAATCTTCAACAGTGCCGTCATAAGTTTCCAAGGGGGGGGTAATACAGGACGTAAATCTACAACCAGTGAATCCAGAACGTGGCTTGACCCACCACCGTTTCCGATGGATTCTGCAAGCATAATGAGCATGAGTCAGGATAAGGATGTTTTATGCTTATCCTGACTCATCATGAGGTTAGCCTCCCAACCTCCCCTCTTATGGTACTCTGGATTTCCCTGTAAATATTGCTGTCGGGCTTACATACTCAGTCAGTCAGTCAAGAGAGTGACAAATATTCCCCCGATCATGTGACCATTTGGGCACCAAAGGAGAGAGGAAAGGAACGCTACCTTGGGTGAGTGATTTTTACGTCCGCTTTTTTAAAGGGAACTTCAAGGGATTTCAAGTGTTCCACTATCATTCGCAAGAGGAAGGAGACAAGCATAATTAGCATGAGTCAGAATAAGTATAAAATATCAATTTTAGTCAGAAAATTACATATTTGATGTTGCATTTCTGTAAACAGTTTATCAATGATTCATGTGATGGTTATTGCACAGAACAGAGGACACCTACAAAGTTGTCAAAATTTGAAGATAAATTTAGAGCATGTTTTCACATTTCCGAAACATTTACAGATGAAAGGACACGTGCAGGATTGTGTGTTGCATGTCACTGTAATGGATCATTCTAAACTTCTATATAAAAGATCTGGGATAGAATTGGTTTTCAGCAAGCCCTGCTTGTCGGAAGAGGTGACGGGATTGTAACGGGATCGTAATGGGATCAGGTGGTCAGATTCTCTGACTTTGTTGATGCAGTTTGCTTAGATCAATGCTCATGCTGTTGGTCACTGGATTGTCTGGTCCAGACTTGATTATTTACAGACCACTGCTATATAGCTGTGTGCTGCGTTAAACAAACGAGCAAATGCAATCTAAAAGCCAATTATTATCTAGCTGTGTACCATAAGTCAAATTGTTTAGCAAACTGTTTGCTGAGATTTAGTAGGAGTCACTCCAACTATGCTTTTTCTTGTTTCAGTTTAACTTTGATGGGCGTGGAGGAAATGTAAATTGTGGAGCATCACCAGCAGTCATTGAACAAAACACCCTGCCACACAAATACAGGAAGGTGTGTAGTATAGAGTGTTACAGTTAAATAATTGCCGTGACAAAAGGTTTAAGAGTCCCCTTTGAACCAGCAAAATAGAACACAGACAAATCTAAAATATTTAATAATATATTGAGCAAACAATGAGCAAGCTACAATGAATCACAATACAGATTTCTAGTACAATGCAATTGAGTCACAAATCTGAAGTAATGGGTCACAAATATAATATTAACTCACCAGAGTCTTGCATTTACAATGAGAGCAGATATTGAAGGTAGTTTACAATGAGAGCAGTCAGGCTCGCACTGTCTTGAATGTAGGTCAGACGATGGCAGACAGATGTATAACTCCAGTGATGTGAAAAGTCTGTGTGTGATTCCGTGTGTGATCCGTGTGTCAACACAACAACCAGCCTTTATATATACTGACAGTGTCTAGAACATTCGAGCAAACCGTGGCTGTATCATTATTCACTCAGTACTTTCTCGAACGGCAGAAGTCAACAAGATAAGCAAAAGATTGTCAAGGGCAGGTAACTCTGGAGCGCTATCAAAAAGGCGTACAGCTAAAAATAGCATTGCCATTGACCATATATGATGCAAACGAAATGTGACCCACAACCCACACTCAAAACTTTAAACATTGTGACCCATAATAACTATCACTTAATCATTGATAATACAAATTACAAAAAACACACTCTCATAACAAGAGGAAGAAATACAAAGCTTAAACATGTGTTTCTTGTAAATACCTGTGAACCCGAACAGACATCAAGTAAGCTACGCTGTTCACAACATGTTAGAGTTACACTGTTTACATGTTTAAGCTACAGTGTTTACAACATGTGAGCTACCTGTTTACAACATGCGTGAGCTACCCTGTTTACAATGTCATTGAGCTACACTGTTTACAACGTAATTGAGCTACACTGTACACAACATGAATGAGCTACACTTTTTACAGCATTTTTAAGCTACACTGTTTGCAACATGATTAAGCAACACTGTTTGCAACATGATTAATCTACACTATTTACAACATTGTTGAGCTACCCTGTTTACGACGTAATTGAGCTTCCCTGTGCACAGCGTGATTGAGCTACGCAATTTACAAGATCGTTGAGCTACACTGTTTACAACATGATTGACCAACACTATTTACAACATGATTGAGCTACATTGTTTACAAGATTGTTGAGCTACCCTGTTTACAACATGATTGAGCTACACTGTTTACTACATGATTGAGCTACACTGTTTACTACATGATTGAGCTACACAATTTACAAGATCGTTGAGCCACTCTGTTTACAAGATCGTTGAGCTACACAATTTACAAGATCGTTGAGCTACACAATTTATAAGATCCTTGTGCTACACTGTTTACAACATGATTGAGCTACCCTGTTTACAACTTGATTGAGCTACCCTGTTTACAACATGATTGAGCTACACTGTTTACAAGATCGTTGAGCTACACAATTAACAAGATCGTTGAGCTACACAATTTACAAGATCGTGAGCTACACTGTTTACAAGATCGTTGAGCTACACAATTTACAAGATCGTTGAGCTACACAATTTACAAGATCGTTGAGCTACACAATTTACAAGATCGTTGAGCTACACAATTTACAAGATCGTTGTGCTACACTGTTTACAAGATCATTGTGCTACACTGTTTACAACATGATTGTGCTACACTGTTTACAACATGATTGAGCTACACTGTTTGCAAGGTGATTGTTTGTTTGGCAGATGAAGCGGTGTAGTGACAGTGAAAACCCTGATGAAGATGGTCCTGAGAAGTGCACCATCTGCTTGTGTGAGTTTGAAGAAGGAGAAGATGTCAGGTACGACCAATGAATGCTGGAAACTTCATCTGTATTTCCATCCCTAAATGTTTTTACTCCAGTGAAGTTAGTTTCGTTTATTGTTTGATGCTGCCCTCAGCAGTATTCCAGCTACACGGTCGCTGTTTGCAAATAATTGAGTGTGAACCAGAGAATCCAGTGATTAACATCATGAGGATCGATCTGTCCAGTTGGGATATAATGACTTGAGTCAACACAATCAATTGTTACCGAGTCCTCTGAAGATTCAATCACATTGGTTACCTGTTTTAGCGTCTGCTGAACATTCTAGGTTAGAATTGTCGGTCTACTGCATTTCATGATCAGATGTTAGCCTAGTGGTTTGCTGCACACATAAGACTCAGGTTCGAATCCTGACATGGGTACAATGTGTGAAGCCCATTTCTGGGTCTACTGAATATTTCATAGCACTCAGTCAGTCAGTCAGTCATAGCAACAGCCACAGCAGACTGGCCAGCCTGGAGCATGCTAATTGTATGTTCACCTCCAACATTTGTGAGGTGTTGTATGAGAGTAGTATATCTCTCATGTATTAGTGTGGGTTTATTTCTAATCACCAGGAAATTCTGCACATGTGTTGGTGATTAGACACATGAATTTATGGTCACATGCAGGGTCCACTTTTCACAAAAGAGTGCTGTATGCCCTCCACATGGTTCATCACGGCTGAGGTGCGGTGGGGTAGCCTAGTGGTTAAGGCGTTGGCTCGTCATGCCGAAGAGCAGGGTTCGATTCCCCACATGGGTACAATGTGTGAAACCCATTTCTGGTGTTCCCCGCCGTGATATTGCTGGAATATTGCTAAAAACGACGTTAAACCATACTCACTCACTCACTCACTCACTCACTCACCCCTCACTCACTCACTCACTCACTCACTCACTGCTGAAATGGGCGGATGTGTCAGATTAAACCTACCTCCAATATAATTCATTTCTCCAAGTGTGAGGCTTCTTTTTTGGCTGAAATATTGCCAGTGTGAATCTAAATTTTCACTCACTATTTTCATGTGACTTTGCTTGTTTCAGACGACTGCCCTGCATGCATCTATTCCACATTGAGTGTGTGGACCAGTGGCTGTCCACCAACAAGAAGTGCCCTATCTGCCGTGTGGACATCGAGGCTGGATCCAAGGATCAGATATCTCTAGAATGACAACAACTTCAACACCACCAGCATGCTGCAACATCATGGTTCCTTGTTTGATCAGGACTATTTGAACTTGAAGATTTTGTGTTCTTTAGCAACAGAATGATGTACACACAGCTTCAACAATGCAACACCTTTTTCACTGTATGTAACTGTGTGGCTTGTTGTGTGTCATTTCGGGAACTGTCTGTTTATTTGTCTTGAAGGATGATATAATTGTTGGTAATATATTTGCCTAGTGGCCAGATTGTTAAAGTAACTATTTTTGTCACAGACGAAAGTGTAGTGTCTTCAAATTGATGGAATTGTACAGACATCTGTTTTGCAGATACTTTTACTCATTTTAACCCCGTTACTGACATCCTCAGTGCTTAGTGAATATTTATTCCTTCTTACGTTTTGAGTTATGTGGAGCACGCAAATAGAGGTATATTTTTTGTTGTTGACAATATTGTGTTGAGTTTGATTTTAGTTTGAAAGTTTGAGTGTCTCGCAGAATCCAGCCTGATGTTGCTGGGGTAGGAGGAGAATGATGTGATCTTCGTCTCTATGCAAGTCGTAGTTCATGCAACGGGAATGTCAGATGATATCAACAGCTGTGTTATAACATAGGCAGGTGTAATCATGGTCTTGTCCCAGATTGAATTTCTGGAAGAACAAACTATTTTTATAGATTCTGGGCCCTTATTATCGAAACGTTCGCAGCGCCAAGAATTCTTAACTTTGATCGTAGCCAATGTGTTAAGAATGGGCTTAAGAAGTTCATAAGGCTATGAAAGTTTCGAGAATAGCTAGACTGGACAGAAAATATAGATAATGTTTAGAAAAGTCTTAAATGAAAGTATGCTTTTTTCTCCAATATTCTTGACGGAAATTCTAGAACCTAATTCACTAGTGTTCCTTACACCACCACCCTGGAGGAAGTCCATGCAGATTTTGATGTTACCCTAACTAGAGCTGCTGTTTCAGTCCTTTTGACCTGCAATTTTGACCATTAATGTTTTAGGGGTCTTGTAATCCAGTTAGCCATAGTTTTCTGTGCAGAGTTACATCGCATGGGGGTACCAGAATCTTCTGGGTTCAAATCCAAGATTTTACTAATGGTGGTTATTGCTGTATCGTACCAGGGTATTACCTCGACTCACAAACATGGGGGTCCCAGGGAATCCTAACTATTCATTTTAAGGGTCCTTGCTGGCAAAACGAGGGTCCTGTGAAGTAACAGTGTAGAGAACTGTACCTTTTGATAATTTCCTTAGAGCCTGGAATGAATCATTGATCATGTGGACCGATGGATGAAATGATGCACGTAACTGCTCAGAAACAAACAAACAAACGCTTGGCAAAGTCATAGATGTGTTATTGGTACAATAAACAATAATGTCGTCCGTCTTGATGCAGTGAATTCTTTGTCTGCGTCCATTCTCTACATTTGGGTGTACAGGAGGCACATTTGTGTGTCGCGTAAAACCTTGTTGTACACATGGGTCATGAGTGGAGTCCACTACAAGCCCAGCATCATGTCAGTCTCACATCAAGCTGACACATCGTGTTATAAAGGTAATACTTGTCCAAGCATTGCTGGGGGACAGGGTGGCCCTGTCATCTAAGGCACTCCACTTTGCTGTACAGAGTTGCGGCCCTTGGGCGTGCCAGAAGCCGATGATCATGGGTGCAAATCCCCCTCAGTTCTGTATGCAGGTTTGGCAGCACCATTGCTGTGCATTTCTTCCATCATTAGCTGACATGCCATGATGCAGAGATGCCGCCCATACAATTTTATCATGTTCATTACGAAAAAACAACACAAAGTATGCGACTATGATAGCAGTAAAAACATACCATCTTTTAAAAAAATACATTGAATTAAATGATCAAATAGCATGCGTACCATACACAATACATTTTAACTACAGTTTATTCAGTATCAAGCTATATGTGGATACTGACAACAGATTTAGGTGAGTACAATGTTAATAACAAGTTCTTAGATTATCTATGTATTTTTTATTAAATATGAAGACCCTTTGGAAAAGTTAATACTCACTCCCAAATACTAATTTTTGCATCAGTTTTTGTCCAAAGACTTATTAGGCTAAATTAGGGTAGGCACCTCTGCATGATGTAACTGGAATACTGTTCATATGGTGTTAAACCCACTCACTCAGAGCAGCTTCACGCTCATTCACAAAATTACATAATATCTTATCTTACCTCACACATAAGTGTCGCTTTCTGATTGGCCGAGCGCTCTTCTATTATTTTCAATATAATAAAATCATCGGGCCAAGCCGTAGATGCATCCAGGGTATGGAGATTGATCGTAACGTATACCCTGGAGATTATCGAGGATGAGCTCTCGATAACTGATGGATAACTGAATAGAGCAGTGGGGGTGCTGTCACTGTAGATATACAAGCTCCACGGGACACTTCTAAACTTCAGGATTTATGAGCATCTCATTTGGCAATCATTAGCAGAAAACTTGAAATATCAGTTGCCACATGACAATGTCACTCACTGGATTGTCTGGTCCACACTCGGTTATTTACAACATGCTGCCACATTCCTGGAATATTCCAGAGCGCAGTAAAGTAAAAAACACTACCTGGTGTAGTAATAACAATGTCATTAAAATCAGAAAGGTTTTTTTGTTGGAAGAAATATCTCTCATCATATATGAAATGGTGTTTGCGTGTGAAGTATATTTAATGTGTTAAGACGTTATGAGCTGTCCCTCCAGCTGATACGGGGTGGGTAGCCTAGTGGTTAAAGTGTTCACTTGTCACACCGAAGACCGGGTTCGATTCCCACATGGGTACAATGTGTGAACCCCATTTCTGGTGTCCCCTCACAGTGACATCACTGGAATATTGCTAAAAGCAGCATAAAACCTGATTCACTCTCTCACTCCAGCTGATATTTTTTTCATCTTTTCACCAATGTGACTTTTGCAAACACTGCTAGTGTGAGCAGCCACTGATATACACCTATTTATTTACAATTCTCTAACAAGAACAAAGTACACCTGAGATGATTGAACACAAAAGCTAACCTCTAGAAGTGACCAAGCACTAAGTTACAGTGACTGTTTTGGCATCAGGTGTTAGTGTCAAGTGCATCCCCATCTTTGTATATTTTCATTTCATACAATCATTGTCATTAAGCTGGGCTTATTTATATTGTCTGTGTGCATTATACCATGATTGTTCTACAAGTAGAAAACCTGCTCCTGTGACCCTTCGGCCACTTCTCAGTGTTGCAGTGTCCGAGGATATGACTGATGTACATATTTATTATATAATTATTATATATTATAATCTTGTACCTATTCCTTGCAGTAACCCTGTCTTCATATATTCAGATCAAGTTTGAGTATATATTATTATATATCTTGTATTTTAAATGTCTCTGTGCAGTGTCCACGAAAGGTCTGTATTGCTGTAAGCCCTATGTTTCAGCATAGAGCAGTATGACTGTTGTACCTTCTTTACTATGGTATAGAGGGGTACAAGTGTCGTGACTACAGCATTGAGTAATTTGACTAACATAACTCCTGTGCTGTAGCATAGAACATCATGACGGTTGTCACTCTTGTGTTGCAGCATAGAACACTATGACGGTTGTCACTCATGTGCTGTAGCATAGAACATCATGACGGTTGTCACTCCTGTGTTGCAGCATAGAACACTATGACGGTTGTCACTCATGTGCTGTAGCATAGAACATCATGACGGTTGTCACTCCTGTGTTGCAGCATAGAACATCATGACGGTTGTCACTCCTGTGTTGCAGCATAGAACACTATGACAGTTGTCACTCCTGTGTTGCAGCATAGAAAACTATGACAATTTGTTGTCCTGTTTTGCAGCATAGAAACTATGACTGTCCTGTGCTGTTTGCAGCATAGAAAACTATGACAATTTGTTGTCCTGTGTTGCAGCATAGAACACTGTGACAGTTCGTTGTCCTGTTTTGCAGCATAAAACACTATGACAGTTCGTTGTCCTGTGTTGCAGCATAGAACACTATGACGGTTGTCACTCCTGTGTTGCAGCATAGAACATCATGACAGTTGTCACTCCTGTGTTGCAGCATAGAACATCATGACAGTTGTCACTCCTGTGTTGCAGCATAGAACACTATGACAGTTGTCACTCCTGTGTTGCAGCATAGAACACTATGACAGTTGTCACTGCTGTGTTGCAGCATAGAACACTATGACAGTTGTCACTCCTGTGCTACAGCATAGAACACTATGACAGTTGTCACTCCTGTGCTACAGCATAGAAAATTATGGCAGTTCATTGTCCTGTGTTGCAGCATAGAACATCATGACAGTTAGAACTCCTGTGCTATAGCGTATGACTGTTGGTTATTCTGTTCGTTTTTGCTGTAGCATAGAACACTATGAATGTTGTAACATTATGACAGATCTCTTGTGCTATAGCATAGAACGCTACGAACGTCTCAACTCCTGTGCTACAGCAGAGAAGTTGTGACTCCTACACTCAGCATAGGGAAATATAACTCATATCTCCTACACTACAGCAGAGAGCAATACTATTGATAACCATAACAATAGCTTTGTGACAGCCTGAGAGGAGATTTGTGTAATCAGGTTGAGATAATGGAGAGTAAGAAATGCATGGAAACAGTTAAAATACAGGTGTTTGTGTCAGTTCTTACACATTTTTAGTCGATTGAAATGTTTTATGATGTCGTTTCTTAAAACTTTTAGCATTAATATGAACAGTTTACTAATGCTAAGACTTTTTTGTGCAGTGTCGTAACTTGGTTTGAATGGTGAAATAAGACTTGAGCTGTTTGTATTTTGTTGTTTGGGCCTGACTGGTGCTGCCATGACTATTGGCTCTGTGACTTTGTCCTCGTCAGTAAGATATCACAGATGCATTGTCAGTAGACATCCAACAGAGGGCTGACTGTCAGATCTGTTTGTACATTGACCTTTGTAATCTGCCAGTCAAAACTGGATGTTTAGGGTATTATATATATGCTGTAACTTTCATTCTTGACTATGAAAGCTGTTTAAATCTAACATCACCAGCATCAACTGCAAACCTGCAAGTGAGTGGTTACATCACTGACTTATGCAGTTTAGATATGTAATGGTTGGTTTTTGTTTGTTTAGCCTTGAATAATTTTTGGAACATTGGACTGTGCAGGCATTAAAAGAATTCTGTTCCTTCTGTTTGATGTGTCAGGTATACTTTGGCTGTTTAGTCTGCGTTTTGGTAGAAGTGTGTTAATGTTGAAGAGTGTTCTGCTATGCTGTGATTTATGTGTGTAAGAACTGACACAAGGTATGTCAACATGTACCTCAAGGTGTATCACGTGTCTCTGCCCCGGCCCCTTTACTGCCACGCCCCCTTACTGCCACGCCCACTTCCATCCCCTCACCACATGGTCTCAAAGAGCAATCTTGAACGTTTCTAGACCTACATACTTTGAAAATGATTAGGCTTGAGTGTTACAATAAAATATAATTGTAATTAGCATTATCACCTTTTGTCATTTACACAAGTACTGGCAATGACCACTTTATGGGTGAAGTCTTATTAATGTTGGATCTTAGTTCTCGTTACCGCTACATCAAAGAGAGCGCTGAGATCTGATGTTAATGAGGTTGCTGGTACTGGTACTAGTTCGGAGTGCTGACAAACCAACATCATTTCATTATTGCTATATTGTCCATTGTGTGATCTAAAACTGTTTACTGATAAACCGATGCATTGTCTCTTATACAGGGAAAGAAACCTTTCAAAATTTCCCACTAGACCACAGGACCAGTGAGTAGACAATAATCAGTGGTCTTGTCTGTATTTCACTGGTGCAAAATAACATTCATAGATTTACTTAACTATCACTACAAAATTCCCTGGCCACCAGAACCACTGCAAACTTATCATTTAGTGGTCCTGATGAATTTTTACTAGGCAGGGACCACAGGAATAACGTAAATTTCGCACACTGTTATATCTACAGAATACTTCAGGAGACTTTTGTTGGAACCTAGTCTGTTTAGATTGCTGGAGTTTGTGTGAGGCCAGTCAATAGCGCACAGATAAAACAGCCATATTTTTTTATTACCTGTGTAACAATTTGAAATTTCTCAACCCAGCAGAAGTTTGGCAAAGTTGTCAGAAGATGTGATTGTTTGTGAGGCCAGTTAATAACACATGGACAAGCCAGGCATAATATTGTGGCTTTTGATATGATAATCACTGCCATTAAACAATTTATTTTAAGCGAAATGTTCTTGTGAATGACAGACACTAGTGATGATTGGTTGTCAGACTGTTTCATGTGTTCTGCTGTGAGGCCATGTGTATGGTGAAGATGGTAGGTTATATTCAGTTAGTGCCCAACCCCTTCTTGCCCGCCCTCTTTCACCTTCCCTTCCGCCCAGCCCTTGTTTCTACTTACTCCTTGTTACAGCTTTATGACTGTAAGCCAGCTGCCAATCTGCATGGGAATAAAGACATGGACTTCACTCATCTTGTTTGTTGTCTCTCGAGACTAACAGCTAGTCTCAGAAATGAACTTATTTTACAAATAAAACAGTTCATAATAAAATAAAATATACAATGAAAAGGAGCCCTCAGACTTTCTTCATTTTCTGAAACTGTGGAAACCTAGACTTGCCTCATATTATAGACTTGCATCATATTATAGACTTGCACGGATATATTTGTTGGAGAGTCTGCATGACAGACTATTGTCTCTCCAGCAGTGTGGACAGAACCAGGTTAGATTCTAAGTTAGAATCTGTCTTCAGCAACTCATGCTTGTCTTTGGTGATAAACCACATGGTAGTCAAGCTTGCAGACTTGGTTGAGGCATGTTGTCATATATTGATTGATGCTAATGAGGTGAGGTGAAATTGGGTTTAACGTCGTGCTTGAGAATATTTCGCTTATATGACGACCTGCATGCATGTGTATGTGTATGTGCAGCTGCTTGTACTAGCCAAGCCGTAAGCTGGTTTTATAGTGCTAGCCCACTGAGATACCATGACGCAGCGAAGCATGAATACCCCACTCAGACACATTATACTGATTCTGAGCCGACCAGTCCTTGATGTACCCATTAATGCCGAGCGCCAGGCAGGGACCAACAAGTACCATATTTTAATGTCTTTTGGTATGACGTGATCGGGGATCGAACCCGCGACCTTCCGCTCTCCGGGCTAACAGGATACTACAGCCATATAATCGTTGTAAGTAATCACTGTGTATGCCACAAACACCGACCAACCTTAACGTTATAAACATAGTCCTTTAAAAAATCAAGTATCTCATATATGCCACAGACACTGTTTTAATTGCATAAAAATGGATTGAGTGACGAGATGACACACATAACCTTGGTTTGGTGTGAAATTTGCATCATGGAAATTACAGCCAAGACGCACGGGGTGAGATCTTTTCGTAACACGATGGAAATGAGGTATGTCAAGACAGGCCATACTGGTTTCTCTTATTTTCTGTTGGTTTTTTATTTTTCGAACATTAGCAGTGCTTATTTCACTTATTTTCTGTTTGTTTTTCGAAAATTAGCAGTGCTTATTTCACTTATTTTCTGTTTGTTTTTCGAAAATTAGCAGTGCTTATTTCACTTATTTTCTGTTTGTTTTTCGAAAATTAGCAGTGCTTATTTCACTTATTTTCTGTTTGTTTTTCGAAAATTAGCAGAGATTATTTCACTTATTTTCCGTTTGGGTTTGGTTTCTTAAACACAAATAACAATGGACACCCTGTGAATCATCTCATATTTAAAGGTCACATGCAACGTAAAACACAACTTTGCAGATTCTGATACCTTTCGGGATGGACTTACACTTTTCAGAGGGGTACACAAAGTCCGCAGTCTAGACTACCAGTTGTCCGACTTCTATTTTCACGGTACCTATAGTCCGTTTGGCTCAAAATCGGACCGATGAATTGCAATCTAACTCGAAAACTAATAAACATATAAAACTCAATGAAACGCTGATCATAATCAAAACGTCAGACCAACTCTGTGATTCGTGATTCAAGACCAGAACACTGACTGACTGACTGAGTTTAGTTTCACGCCGCTTTTAGCAATATTCCAGCAACATCACGGCGGGGAACACCAGAAATAGGCTTAACACATTGTACCCGTGTGGGGAATCGAACCCGGGTCTTCGGCGTGACGAGCCAACGCTTTAACCACTAGGCTACCCCACCGCCCCTCAAGACAAGCAACAACTCTCCGGTACACAGAAAAAGTCACTCATACTGTTAATGTAGCAGCAGTACACATCTGTGTAAAACACAGGAACTGATATTTGTGTCTCCTTTGTGACAATTTCTCGACAAGTTCTGTTTACCGACTAAAGCAAGACAGTATGTGTTACGGGCATCATTCATTGCACGTTACTGACATCCAGACTTTGAGTTACCGACATCCTCGCGCGATATTAAAAATGCTTATTCTTCAACACATAGACATTAATAAGCAAATTCAGTGCATTGAATGTATTTCCACCATCACAGTTTATCAGTGTGCTAAATAATGTTGATTGTATACACGTGGAAGGCTGCTAATTCGAGGGGAATAATCGCCAAGCGATCTTACCTGCCGCCATGTTGGGATGCTGGTAACGTGCGTTAACAGCATCACCTTAGGTCAGGGGCGGATACAGCTTTTTGAGAAAGGGTGGTGTGTGTGTGTGTGTGTGTGTGTGTGTGTGTGTGCGCGCGCGCGCGCGCGTGTGTGTGCGTGCGTGTGCGTGTGCGTGTGTGCGTGTGCGTGTGTATTGCATGCGTGCGTGTGCGCACACTATGAAAAAGGGAGGGTGCGCTTCATTTTCACCCGAGTTTCAATGGTCATTTAATAAACTTTAAGGAGGGGCACCTGCACACACACACACACACACACACACACACACACACACTGGATCCGCCTATGCCTTAGGTACCGCGATTTTGTGGAAGCCGCGGTGGCTGAGTGGCCTAGGCGTCTGACTTTGTGTGCTAGCGATCAGGTGCCTGACTCTCAGGGTGTGGGTTCGAATCCCGGATGGGACTCAACCCCCGAAAAACTACTAGAATCTGTACTCTACTGAGAAAGTGTAATCCCAAATATAATATGAACTTAATGAACTTAACACCTATCAGGCTATACACCATAAATAAAACGCATTGATTTATGGCTCGTGCACCCGAGTTCGGTCTTTGTCACATGTTATGTAATTACACAGACAGGCAGGTGTGATACTTGTACACATGACATGTTATGATGTCTGTTGATTGCAAAATGTTATACACAAAAAATGAGCATGTATTTACAAAACCCAACATCTCTATACATGTTTACACGCACACAATGAGCCGATGGGGTCATCTGCAAATGAACCAGCCAATTAAAATGCTCGTTACACTTGAGTGCACACCCACCCGCTCTGACTGGGTTCGGTATCCCGGGTGCTTGGCTTCGAGGGAAGTAAACCCAAGTACCAAATATTGCACTTTTGATTTGCGATTGTACGCTTATAATTTCGCTTATTTGCTTTTTCATAATCAGCAATGTATATTATCTGTCATGAATAAGTGATTATTGTGTCTTAATTATGTTTGATTTTTTGGTTGCATGTGACAAGGGGACAAATTGTATTTGAACCTAATCACTCCTCAGTATTTCTATACTATGGAGATAAAGCATTTGTGTGGGTTTTTTTCAAATTAGAGGCAACAGAACGGATTTATGAAAGCTGTAAATTTAGTTTCAAATAGTTCGCGTTACAATTTACTCAAGTCATCCATGGTAGAATTAAATCTATTTGGCAATGTGATTCAGTGACACAGTTTTACTTTCTGTCAAAATCAAAATCACATTCTTTTCTTTCCATTATCAAATATATGACTACGTCTTTTAAACAAATAGCCCATATCTACCTATAATTTACATAATCATAAATTGATATTGGCTGTCCTAAGCCTTCACCTCCAGCTACAAACACAAATATTTTCTCTATTTTATTTTTCGTTTTTATTTAATAATAATCGAATTGCGTAGTTAAAACTTCCTATTGTCCATATCCTTTGCACATATAAAAACAAATCAAAGTAAATATTTATAACAGTTTGAATAAAGTTTATACGGTAGAGTTGAATAGTATGTCGTGGTCTGCCAAGTTTGAAAGGGGCGATTGCCTCCCTTGTATGGTAGATGGCGCATTTTGTAAAATGGCAGCGGTGGAAAGTGGAGACGACGATGATAAGTTGGAGACAGAACATTTCCTCAGAATCGTCAATGCTTTTCGGTTTTACAGGTAGAAAGAAGGAAAATTCTTGTTCGATGCGATCTGTATTCACAGGGAGAGGACTAGTCTGACGACGCTGCAGGCGGGTCTGTTCGACTATGTGTCAATAAGACTGCGTATGATGCAGTGGCCTGGTTTAACAAGTTTGAAAGGTTGTGTGTTAGATTCCCCTGATGACCTCAGGCTTAGTATTTATACAGACGGAGCTAAGGATAGAACTGATTGTAACCCACTCTGATCTCAGCACAACGGACCCAAAGGATCGACGATGTACGCAAGATTCGTGAAGCGAGATCGAGCTACAACAACCAGTGGCCTCAGCCATCATCAGAGCTGTGAGCTGCGCCATGTAAACTGCATTATTGTCAGTCACCCAGCCTTATCTGAGTGGATATCATCGACAGTCTTGCAAAAATAAAAACTCAAACCAAAATAAAACAACGAAAACAGAAAGTCCCCTCCCTCTCATATCGATATGTGGTATCATCTGGCCTTTGCACAAACCTCCACGCGTTCTCGCTGAGTTTTTTTTATCTAACAAAATTTCACCTTTGCATATTTCACCAAATGTAATGCAGAAATAAGAGTATCAACAATAACTTAGTGAAAAAAAGAAAATGGAGATATCAAAGCTTTAAGATCTATGTCATTTTGAGATTTAGGCTTGTTTGAAAGTTTTGTTAATAAAAAATGACCAAGCAAATGTCCTTAGGCCCATTCATTATGACATTTTGAAGCTCACCAAACTAAATTCCAACCTGTTACAAAGGTACTGACAAAGAGTTCACCTGAGAAATTGTTATAAGCTAACCTTCCTAGCTTTAAATAAACAATGCCATGTAGAAAGTGGTCAAATGTAACAAGTTATTTTTGGGATTACACTTTTCAAGTAAAGCACAGATTCTAGTACTTTTACTGGGTGGAGTCCCATCACCCTATTTATAACACCAAGAGTGTATTGTGATTACAGTATGGGTATGATCCTCCACATGGAGCTAATGGGGTAAGACTTACGCCCGTATCCCCCTAAATTTTACCGATTAGGAAAAAACTTCTTCGAGTGGCATTTTCAGAAGTTGGATATGTCTTTCAGTATGTTTAGATACAATTAAAGAAACGTGTTAAAACTCATCCTCATCAGATGAGGAATATATATATATTCAGGTCAATATGATTTGACTAGAATGAAATTTAAGGGGGGTCTACGGGTGGAAGTCTTTCCGCTAATGGAATTCCCATAACCTTGCCTTGTATTTGATATTCTTTTTGCTCTAAACAGTAGATGGAATGTTTAGTTTTATGTTTCACCAGTTTGACTTAAATGTACATAATGACTGGAATGTCTTGGTCATGGATGGCATTAATATTCAACTGCAGGAAAGTCTTTTTAGGCTATCTGTATGGTTTTTTATATTCGATAAATTCAACCTTGACCAGCGCGAGAGAGAGTGAGTGAGAAGAAAATGAATAAAAACATAATTATAAATTAAAAAAAAGGTTTTTCACTACTTGTGTAACTTATTGGTAAATAACTGCGTATTTCAAATCAACAGCAAACACCATTTATAGAAGCAATTATCTGCACTCATTATGATGAATTATTGTGATCATATCAGTGATAATATTAATAAGTAAGATAATGTTTCCAGTTTTCTTTTTAAATAATGTATGTGATTGTCCTGATTTCATTTGTTTATTATTTTTTTTTGGGGGTGGGGGGGTTGGGTTGGGTTGATGAGGTAGCCTAGTGGTTAAAGTGTCCGCTCGTCATGCCGAAGGCCCGGGTTTGATTCCCCACATGGGTACAATGTGTGAAGCCCATTTCTGGTGTCCCCTGCCGTGATATTGCTGGTATATTGCTAATTTGTTTAAACAGTCATTTGTTTATGTAGCTTGTGGGATGGAATACATTAATATTAATGTCGACAATAATGTTTTTGAAAAGATTGTAGAACACTTATAACAGTACCATATATTTCAGCATGTAACTTCTGTGATGTGGGGGAATAACAACTTTGCCGCATCAGACAGAGGTTAATGTTGTGATGTAAAAGCCTCTGATAGACTGATCAGAATCAAGTGGTTTCCAGGGCCCAAACCACCAACTAACAAAGTTGAAAGGAACATGACTGAATTGTGTATGATGGCGTCCTTGGTGCTGTGGTATCAATCAGGATTTGAACCCTTTGATAGATCGCTCAAAAACATGCATTTTTTCAAGTATTGATGTTGGTCTTTAGTCCCGATAAAATACCAAAAAAGTAACGCATGAAGATCTGGGTTAGACTTGGTCTTCAGCAGTGTTGCTTGCTGACTTTGTTGACACATGTCATTGTATCCCAATTGTGTAGATCGATGCTCATGGTGTTTATTAATGGATTGTCTGGTCCAGACACGATTATTTACAGACTACCACCATATGGTTGGAATATTGCAGAGTGCAGCATGAAATTAAACTCACTCACTATATTGCGGCAGTCTGCAAACATTTGAGTCTGGATCAGACAATCCAGTGATGGACAGTATGAGCATCAATGACCAAGTCAGCGAGAATGACCATCTGATCCTTTAGTCCCCTCCTACGACAAACATGGATTACTGAAGATCAATTCTAACCCGGATCTTCACGGGTTGCAGCGATATAGCTGGAATACTGCTGAGTGGCGTTAAACAAGAAACACGAACAAGACAAGTTATAGGCACACCTGAAGGGATTATAGATATATGCCTGTGGTATTTCAGGTCCCACGCTCTGATGCGAGTGGAGAGCGCTGACCGGTACTACAAGGAACTACCTGACCACCACAAGGCTCTGATTCCCGACTTCCGGGCCAACTTGGACCTGATTCGGACCAGCATTGACCACAACTATGAAATCATTAAACTCATCCTGCAGGACACTGAATATATGTTTGAGAACAAGAGTCATGGCTTGGAGAATGTGAGAGTATTGTATTGACTTCCCATATATCATGAATATTGTGATTTCATTATTTATGTGCTTGTTATGATTATTAAGTAAATGTTAAGAATTTTATCATGAATATCTTGAGAAAATATCATGAACTTCTTGTTTACCATGATTCAGGGGTGGAAATAACCCATTGCCCGACGCCCGAGTCCAGTGTTATTTTCTGCCAGGCAAGCAAATTTGTATATCACACTGTACCGGTGTCCAGTTGATATTCCAATGTTAATTATGTTTTTTATTTAAAAATCAACAAGAAAACGGCCGGTAAAGTGGAAAAATTATCCGGGCAAGTGATTTTACATGTGCCACTGTACCGGAGTACACTAACAATTTTAAAGTTATTTCCACCCCAAATGATTACTTTGAGAACATTTCATGAATTATATATCATAGTCATATGTAGTGTGAAAATATCCATAAATTACTTCATATTGCAAGAATATTTCATTAGTTACTGATTTATAGTGAATATTGTGATGAAATAAATGAAGGAATTACCTATACTGACCAACATTAGAAACGCTCCACACTAAAATGCACCGACGATGCTCAGATATCATGGGTACATTTCAGTCTGATGGGGATATTTCGTATCATATGGGTGGTGCGTTTCTAATGTTGTTCAGTATATTTATAGTTAACATAATAGATACGGTATACTGATTTGTGATTAGTGTGAGATTTCATGATTGAATTGTTTATAATCATTTTAAGAAAATTTCATCTACTTTCTGTTTATCGTGAATGTTTTGAAAAGGGTTCGTGAAACGTCTTCGGTATTTGTAACTTACCAAAAGAAAATCAACCCCGAAACAATTTGAACCTTTGCACTTACACACCCAGGTCACTGCAGGTTATGGAGCGCTCTTATTTGGGCACTGTCACACATTCTGTGAATCAAACAGTATTCCTTCAGGAATTAAATTTGTTATTCACTTTTGCTAGAAGTGAATATTCTTGATTTGTTTGAATTTGTGTGTTATTCAACTAAACCAGATAGGCAAAACTGACAAAGACGAGCCAGTCCGTATAGTAGGCAGCATTCCTGTATATTTAATTTGACAGTAAAGTCATCACTGGGTATTGTGGTAAATATAACACTGTCAACAAGGTCAAAACATGTAGAAAAGTATCATTTTGGTATTGTTTCACAGACTATATTAAGAGGCTATTGCATGTCAGCTTTCCTTTCGCCATTCATATCAGCCCGAGGGCTGATGTGGTAGTCGAGTGCTGATATGACTGGCAAAAAGGAAACTGTCTTACAACCTTTTTATCATATACATTGTACCACATCAAGGGACATAACTCTCAAATAACTAGGTAACCAATTTGCATGAAATCAATGATAATGCATGCTTCCCATTTGATAATGATTACGTTATGATATGTGTTACTTTCAATGTCATTAGAATAACGATTGTAAATAAACTGTTTACATATTAATATGGGATGTCATTTCAAACTCAGAAAGTTCTTTCCCAGAAAAAAATGATATTGCGTCCACAAGGACTGACAGGATTTTAGTTTGGGGCTTCTTCACTAAATTTCTGCGTCCAATTCTTAAGCCCCATAAAACCCTGGAGTCTAGTTAATTTTAGAGTTATGTCCCTTGCATTATCTGCTCATCAAGAAATGATGGAAGTATGAGTTCTATTATTGGCGACAATGTTTTCCTTGCTCTTGCCTTCAGAATCATGGAGTTTAATGAAATTTGACTTATTCAATATTTACAGATGTGGTATATGCAGGGTTTTACACAGATGTTGAAAAATGGGAGTCATGGTGACTCACAATATTATTTGGGGGGAGTCATTTTCAATATTTGAGAGTCATGAAAATTTCATATTACTTTGTGTAAATCCTAAAGAAAGAGTTTTGCAAAGATTATATTGTTTTGTGTTGTATTGTCATTTATATGATTAGTTGATAAATAGTTATATTTCCACTGTTAAATTCAATCATAACAAACTCCAGTATCCTGAACAAATAATGTGATTTATTCACTGTAACGTACAGTTATTAACATGAACTGAAAAAAATATCTATTGAAGACCTACAGCATGAAAAACGTAACATTATTTACTGACAACATTTGTGAACTTTGTGACAAGTTATCACTTGCAAAGGCGAGTCCAAACAGATGACTTCATTGGCATGATATTTGTGTTAATCATTCGCAGTATGTAACTGTTTATCTCACACCACCAAATGCAACTACAGCATTGTTCAATTCAAACAACCAGGATCACTGTCTCCTCTGATTTTGCTGGAACAATCTGACAGCTCTGAAAAAAGTCAAACTAACACCGAAATCTATCATTGTTTGTTTATCAAGTTGGTTTTGTTGAACTGAATAGTGAGTGTCACCCATAAGACTAACGTCAAGCTTGACTCGTATTATAATATGTTAAGAATCTTTTACAAAATTGTTGCGTCAAATACGCATGAATCACTCGTCATGTAAAACCCTGATATGATAAAAAGGGTATGATATGACAGCAGGCCCCTTGAGCTGATATGACGGCAGGCCCCTTGAGCTGATATGGCAGTTGAGGGCCGATATGAATTGCGAAAGGAAAACTGTCATGTAATAACCTCTTAATACATCAACTGTTGACTTGTTACTGTATTCATGACCCAATATTTGTGATATATATCATATTCGCCTCAAAGTGGATTTGTTGCAGCCCTAGTTCTTATATGCTTATGTAACTTATATATCATGGTTGAGAAATGAGCAGGTCAGACAGACCGAGGTAAGGGAGGACCTATGTCATATTTTTAACAATCAATGACAAACACACAATATTGTGTATAAGATAACTACTTTATTACCTATGAGGGCGAAAATATCGGGGTTCATATTTTAATACGATGCCCTAGGGCAAAATATCACTTTGTCATAGTGACGTGACGTCCTGAACAAGGCTATGACGTCACGTTTCTTCTGTGACGTTGAGTTCTACATGCGGCGACGGCGGGTAGCCAGCCTATGTTTAAAGTAGATTTGGGGTTTTTTTTCCTTAATTTGACAACTTTGGTAATAAACAGAATATTATATTCGTGCCCATATCATACTGTTTACAACACTCGTGCCAAAACATCGGTATATCCCTCGCTCTCGCTCGAGAAATACCAACATTTAGGCACTTGTGTCGTAAACATAGTATGACATGGGCACTCATATAATATCCTCTAATTATTATGCCACACGCTCTGTTAGCATGTGTGTCTGTCTGTCTGTCAGGATGGAGAGACCATCAAGCAGGTTCCTCCCACAACGTTTGACATGGACAAGGTTACATCAACCCTGAAGCAGTTTGTGCGGGATTGGAGCGAGGACGGGCAGGTGGAGAGAGATGCATGCTACAAACCAGTCACAGAGGAAATAACTCGCAGATTCCCTGCTTCAGAGTGGTAAATATTAGGGGTGACAATTGAGGGCAGTGTTTACAATACTTTAATTTGCCAGTTGGGCCTGGAGGCCGGCAGTTATTTCGAACGCTGATTGAGGGGGAAACAACTATTGCGATAGCGATAGTCTATTGCAATATCCTATTGCAATAGCGATAGTCTTTTGCGACCAACTATTGCAATACTATTGCAATAGTTTTCTTTCTCCTTGAATTATCTCATTTGAAGTCATTTCCCAAATGAATGTGTAGTTTTATATGAACTGAAAACAAGTATTTTCAGTCTCTTTTAATAACTGGGAAGAAACTTGAAACCAGATCAAGTGAACAGTTAAAAACTCAATGAAGCTGCAAGCCTGCACCAAAACAATAAAAAAATACAAAACAACATAAATATTTAATAAAAATATAAAGTTACTAACTAACGATAGTCACACATACTATCGATGCATCGATAGTTTTTCGTTTCTACCATCGATTAATTGCTATCGGAGACTCAACAATTGCAATCTATCGATAGTTCTATGCATCGTTACAGCCCTAGTAAATATTAACAATTATGATTAAAATGACAACCTTTAAAGGTTGTTTGATTGGATTCTAGAAGTTAGCGAGTTCTTACTCCCCATCTGCCCTCGTCCAATTATATTGTTCAGTGACGTGCTGCTGTTAATGTTAGTCTGTTGTTTGTTATAGCAAGCTGTTTTTTCACATTCATTAAGATATTAGTGATATCTGTATTATGTTTAAAGTTGTCAATAATGTATTTAAGATATCAGAAAATAATTTAAGATATCTTTCATGAATGTCTGATATTCAAAATAAAATTACTGATATTAGCGGCGAGTGGCCCTGTGCGTAGAGTTCAGGTCACAATCAGTTGTTAAGCTACGTTGGGCGCGGAGAGTAGTTGGATGGGTGACCGTGTTTGGCAGCTTGACTCCTGACAATTTCTAGTACTTCAGTCCTGCCCCACAATGAAGCACATGTTACACATGTGATCTCACCTTAAGCAAGTGGGTTTGCTCAAAATTGCCTTTGTCCACCCAGCAGTAAGTTGGGTACATGGTATGATACGATATAAGTCTGAATTTGAACCTTGAGCGCCTGACAGGCGACTGGTTGTATTCTCCACAAGGAGTGGTCTGTACTCGTTGATCAGGGGTAATAGTCAGCTCTTTGAGCATGCAGTGTGGATGGATAAATTGGCAATATAAATGGACTATTATATTGTAAAATCTTACTGAGATTGCATGACAGAATAACAAATTCATGCTGTGTGAATTTGTATTTGTCAGAGCAGCACACAAATGCATGATCTAGACTACCTGTTGTTGGCCACCATTATTCTCGAAGGCTTGATGGCTGAGTGGGTTAGATGGCTGACTTGGAGTTACTCTGAGTATCTGGGTTAAGATCCCAGGTGGAACTCAACCCCCCCAAAGTACTAAAATATGCACAAATTTAACAAAGGTTGTGTTACTGTTACATTTATTGTTGATGTTGTTTATGTTTTTACTAACAATTAGACTTTGATGTGTCTGGCAGGGATCCCTCGTCTGTCTACGTCCTGGTGCCGGGAGCAGGGTTGGGTCGCCTGGCCTTCGAGATTGCTAATCTTGGTTACAGTTGCCAAGGCAATGAATGGAGCCTCTTCATGTTATTCGCATCTAACTTTGTTCTTAACAAGTATGTTACTTTCTAGTTCTCATTTGTGCATGCCTTTTTGCGTTGTGGATGTCTTTTATGTTCGTCAGTGTTGAAGATACAGACCTTGTTTTACCTGGCATAATATTGCAGCCGACCCGTAAAGGTCCGGGGTAGAATAGGTCTTCAGCAACCCACGCTTGCCACAAAAGGTGACTATGCTTTGTCGAAGAGGCAACTAACGGATCGGGTGGTCAGGCTCGCTGACTTGGTTGACACATGCCATCAGTTCCCAATTGCGCAGATCGATGCTCATGCTGTTGATCACTGGACTGTCTGTTCAAGACTCGATTATTTACAGACTGCCACCATATAACTGGAATATTGCTGAGTGTGGCGTAAAACTAAACTCACTCACTCACTCACTCATAATATTGCAGCCTATAGAAAAACAGAATAGACTCGAGTAATTTTCACTGCTGAGGCCTTGGGATGCCTAAATGTTTAGTTTTCCCTGAAATTATTGAGAAAGTCGTTTCGGCAAATATCTAATACATGTATTAAACTATAGAAGTTTTACTTAAATGAATATGTTTAGATATGATTCTCTTTCAGTAGCAGATTCTGCTACATCAGGGGAGATAACGCTTGATGTATGAAGGTTCATTCTTAAGCCAACAAGAGTTGCCTCCCATATTGAGTACCTCACTCAACACCTAACACCTATTTTAAAATTCTGTTATCAGTATTAGAGAAAAAAAGATTTTCTCAATAATTTCAGGGAAAACTGTATGTTGAAGTCTTAACAAACATGGTAGCATCCGTATGTAGTAGGTCTGGTTAAAAGACAGATACTCAGAAATATTGGACTGATGTTGGCCCTGAACAGCAAGAAGTTAGCTACTGTTTCTGATGGCTATGGTGTTTAAACAAAGATATTCAGCACCCTATGCTTGTTGTAAGAGGCGACTAACCGGCTTGTTGTTTTAAATGATGGGGTGGTCAGGTTTGTTACATTTTGCTGACACATCATGGAATCCCATGTAGGCTGATTGATGCTCGTGATATCAATCATGAGATTGTCTGATCCAGACTCGATTATTTACCAACCGCCATAATACAGCTGGAATATTGCTGACTGGTGTTAAACAAGGAAACAACAAACAAACTTGCCAGCTGAACACTATTGCCTTGTAACTGAATTGCTTGTTTAGCATGTGCTTTGATCAGTGTGTATTGGTGCATCCAGATGTAAACACGTGAATTCCTTCACCATGTACCCCTGGGTTCACCAGTGGAGCAACAACAAGTTGAAGGCCGATCAGACTCGACCAATCACATTCCCCGACATCGAGACCACCAGCATTGCTCCCACTGTCAGTTTCTCCATGGCGGCGGGCGACTTTCTCGAGGTGTACACCGAGCCAGGTGAGACAGACAGGTTGTCAACTTCTCAGATTTTTTTGGCGGGCAAAAACTTTGTTGCGTTCATATATGACCTGCAAATACAGTTATATTCTGGGAAGGTATTCTCACCAAAATCGAAGAATAATATCCAGACATTTACATATATCGCGGGTCGATTTACGTTTGTCATGGTTGTCGCATGAAAGCAAAAACATTGGTTGTAATATATCATGCCTGTGCACATAAAAATCTTCAAACTTACTGGCAAACAAGGATAACCTGGACCAGCGCAGAGCAGAACGCGTTTATGAGAAGTAGGCGGTGCGGCAATGGCGAACCATTTGGTTTGTGAAAGGTAGTGCAGATGTAGGCTAGTGCACGTGCATTGCTTGACGATGAAATTGATTCCGTGCGTAGCTGCACACGCCTTGCTCAAAAGACTCTGACGTGGGTGTAGCAAGTCACACAACACTTGATCACTAACAACTTTGGGCCCCTTCGCTAACAATGGTAAGCGCCAGTGGACGGCACTCTACATGCTAATATGGGTCAATTGTCAGGCCGGTGCTCAACTTATCCTTGTTTGCCAGTAGTTTCGCTTTTACAAACATTCAACGATGTTAATAGCCATCCTGAGGTACAGATAACTTTTTGGGTCATTGAGTTATGTACTCGCTTGTGTTCATCTTAATTGGGTATCCTAATTTTACTTTGAGTAACCAAATAAATTGTTCTCATCTCACTCAAACTCAATTGGGTATTTTGCCGTTTTCCAATAATTTTTAAAATATCAAAAAGTTTAAATGTTAGTGTTTCTTATTTATATTTGATCTGTAGTATGAGAAACGATAAGAAAGATTGCAAGTTGTCAAGTTCATGTCCTGAAATAGAACCTCTCAGTATACCTCAGTTATGTTATCTATCCACCGGTACGCAAGCTAAGATTTGACATTTTCGTGTGTATGCATTTAAGATCACTTTTATCGAGTATTTACCCAAATTTAAGCGTACTTTTATGCAATAGACTTAATAGGAATTGAGTTTTCACATAAATAATTGAGCAATTTATGCAGATACGCAGCTTATCTGTACCTTTGATTGAGATCACATAATTGATAGGGCAGGCTATCGATCATAGTCTAGATTGAGTAACCAAATAAACTGTACCCACATCAATCAAACTCAACTGGGTATTTTGCCATTTTCCATTAGTTGTAAAAAAAAAAAAGTTTAAATGTTGTTTTACTGGTTTGTTGTTTATTTGATCTGTATTATGAGAAACAATATGAAAGCTGGCAAGTTGCCAAGATCATGTGCTGAAATACCTCTCAATCTACCTCAGGTATTTTATTTTATGGATCCACAGGTACGCAAGCTAAGATTTGACATTTTACTGTGTATGCATGTAAGATCAAATTTATTGAGTATTTACCAAAATTCAAGCATACTTGTACGGAAGAGACTCAATGGAATTGAGTTTTCGCATAAATATTTGTATAATTTACACAGATGCGTTGCTTATCTGTACGTCTGCCATCAAGGTGGAAGGAGAAGTCAAGGTGTAATACAGTTACTGGAGTTTCAGATCATGATGATACAGATTCTCTCACCTGCCAGGTGTATTTCCACAGAATCCTGGGACTGCGTGGCCACTGTTTTCTTCATCGACACAGCACACAACATCATTGCCTACATAGAAACCATGTACAAGATCATCAAACCTGGGGGCTGCTGGATTAATCTGGGTAAGGTTGACAGAGTTGTGTCCCTTGGTTTTCAGAGCCCGCCAAGAGTGCGGCGTACAATTTGCTTGTTTCATGTCACACACAGCAATGTTCCAGCTCAAGGGCAGTCTGTAAATAATCAAGTCTTGCACAGACAATCCATGACATCATGAATAGCTGAAGACTAGTTCTAATCCTTCACTTCATGACTGGTTGTTGTGTGAAACAACTATAATGTTACAACTAATATGTACTGAAAGTATTTCTGATTACCTGAGCATGATGATTGCTTTGTACAGCAGCACCGTGCTCCACAAAGTGATGTTATTGCTGTGATTGCCTAATGTTAAAGGGACAGTATTTCAAACATTCTGAAACGTCTGTTAACAATAGATGAAAAACCCTGTGCTCACTTACCTCTGCTGGCCATTAGTGTTGGGGATTAGTTTAAATCTCATAATTGATGAATGGTTCATTACAGCCGATCAATCATCGAAAATAATTGGTTAGCGTCATTATTAATTTTTTTCTGGTTATGTTTGTTAATGCACAAAAATAAAGAAAAAACGTAGTTCTTTCGTTTTTTTGCAAATTGCACAAAATGCATTTAAAGGATGACTAGTATGTTAAGAACATGAACTTCATGGAGTCTTTAAGATAAATTCAATCATGAATTGGAAGAGCTTGTAGTGCTAATGAAATGTAACAGACAAAACCAACCTTGTGAAAAACATCATTATTCAAACATGTGTTTCAAAATTGTTTGTGTTCGATTATGAGAAAACATGATCGATTGATTGGTCGTTTTGTCATTGCGACCAATGGATTATTTCAATTAATCAGACCACCACTACTGGCCATATATCCTGAGAGAAGTTTCTGCTCCAGTGCCTACACTGGAAGTCTATGCTTATGGGTTTGAACTTTGCTTTTGTTGTACAAATGTACCTATTCTGAAGTAAGTATTGTTTGTTTCTTAAATAAAGTACGTTTAGATTTCCTCAGGTTCAGAATCTCTGGTCTCCCCTGGGTTTCCTTTTCAATCTAATGTTTGTTACTATCAAAGTTTTATATATTCAGAGACTAAGCTTTAGTCTAGTGTGTCCCTTGTACTGTCCAGACTAAGTCATGGAAACATCCGGGTTAGAGTGAGTGAGTGAGTTTAGTTTTACGCCACACTCCGCAATATTCCAGCTATATGACGGCAGTCTGTAAATAATCGAGTCTGGACCAGACAATCCAGTGATCAACAGCATGAGGTGAGGGGAGGTGATATTGGGTTTAACGTCATGCTTGAGAATATTTCGCTCATATGACGACGTGCATGCGGGTGTATGTGTATGTGCGGCTGCTTGTACTAGCCCAGACTTAAGCTGGTTTTATAGTGCTAGCTCACTGAGATACCATGCCGCAGTGAAGCATGAATACCCCACTCAGACACATTATACTGACCCCGAGGCGACCAGTCCTTGTTGTACCCATTAATGCCGGGCGCCAGGCAGGGACCAACAAGTACCATATTTTAAGGTCTTTTGGTATGGCGCGATCGGGATCGAACCAGCGACCTTCCGGCTCTCGGCGGACGGCTCTCTTTCCACAACACACACGGAGGTCACAACAGCATGAACATCAATCTATTGAAATGTGATATTATGAAATAAAATGGCCCTACTGTGTCTCGTGGTCCTATTCTGAGTTGTCCTTGGTTTTCAGAGCTCAGAGTCGCGGTGCACCATTGGCTTGTTGTTTCACATACATGCAACAATATTGCAGCTCTATGGCGACAGTCTGTAAAGAAATAGAATAAACAATCTGTGTTGCAGGTCCCTTGTTGTATCACTACACAGACATGGCCAACGAGAGCTCCATAGAACTCAGTTATGAAGAGCTGAAGAATGTTATTACAAAGATAGGCTTTGTTTTAGAGGTAAGACCCAGTGTTTTTCTCATTTTCCTGTTTCCATTTGACAAGTGTCACATGACCCCGGAACTGACTGTTCATAGCTTCACACTTTGAGATCAATTAGGGTGCAACGATTCGGTTCGATTCATCGAAAACAGAATCTGACACCTTAGTTTCGATTTTCGATAACCATTATGACTATTTTGATTCAATGTTTGACAATTGAATACTTACTTGAATTATTTCCACACAGCCAGAATGTAATGTTGACTTCAACTTGGGCAGTTTCGAGCTCTGAAATAAAGGGAAAGGTGATTGGTTGATGCCAGGCTAATTATCCAATCAGAATTGTTGTTAGTAGACATTGCCAAGTTGACGATGGATTTCACGCTAAAAAGGCCGACACTGAGAGTTAAATGAAATCTGATGTTTTTACTTGTATGAAGAATCGAATCGAATCGAAAATGATCAAATCGAGGGTCCAATATCGAAAATCGACTCGACTCGAATCTGGGTGAATGATTGCAACCCTAATATTAATACATCTTCACTGTCATTCTTGTAGTGACTATGTTTACTTCCTTAGTCCCAGGGGAACCACTGGAAAATCCCTAGCATTGATAAATACTAGTGTTGTTCTGATCATTTAGACCCTGTATTTAGTATATATCATCTATTTGAAAGCATCCTATATCCTTACACCACATTTTGTCTCCTGTGATGATTCCGGTTAGAATTGGTCTTCGGCAACCCATGCTTGTCGTAAAAGGCGGGTAACGGGATCGATTGGTCATGTCATATGCGATATCATTCCTTTATAAAATGCTGTGGTTGGTTTGGTTTTTGACGCCTCACTCAGCACTGCAGTGATCAACATTCATTAGCATCGTTCTACGCAATTGGGATATGCTGACATATGTCAACCAAGTCAGTGAGGCTGACCACCCGATCAGTGGCTAACCAATTTTAACCTGGATCCTCACGGGTTTAGACAGCTGGAACGGAACCTGAGCTGAGAAACCTGTTGACTGTTAATGTGTTTGATTCTCTTGCTTTCCGAAATCATTCAGTAATTAAATGCTGTGAAAATTAAAGTGCGATAGATCTTACTGGCTGTGATCAGGGAATTTTGTTTTGGCTAAATATAGATTTAGGATTTGACAGTCACTTTGTGAGTTCATTTAAGTATAGAGAGAGGGACAACCACTGTAAATGACAAGCACCAGCCTTCAGATGGCCTCCACTCATTGAGGTTCGTACACTGATGAACTTTCAGTCAGTTCTCAAATGAAGCACTGAACACAGTATCTTCAAGGGTTCTCTTGGTTGCAGGGGTGGTGGGGCAGCCCAGTGGTTATGTGTTTGCTCGTCACGGCAAAGATCCGAGTTTGATTCCTCACATGGGTACATGTGTGAAGCCCATTTCTGGTGCCGCCGTGATATTCCTGGAATATTGCTAAAACGGTGTAGTCACTAAGTCACTCCCTTGGTCCTTGAATGATTTAAAAAGTTACCATGGGTTTTCATGAATACCGACTTTCACTGTTATAAATAATTTGAAAAATGTCATGAAATAAGTACTTCATATGTCAGATGAACCTTCAACCTTCAACCTTCAGACCTTAATTACTGTTCACAGTTTTTTGATGTCATGTGATGTGGTCAACCTATCAATCAGTCAAGTAAAATAATATTCAGTGTGAACGAGCCAATCAGTTGAAGCCAGAGTTATAACATTTGGTCAGAATGTATAGAGAATCTCACCTGAGTGTCTTTTGATATCAAATATATCACCACGAGTTGATAAATTTACAAACATCCGTGGCTTGCCGACGATATTTTTACTTTTATCAACAAGTGTTGATATATTTGATATCAGAATACACGAGGGTGAGATTCTATTTATCATCGAAAATCATTCTTCATTAGTTTTCAATGAAAAATGTACATCTCTGAACACAGAACTCGCATTAGACTTGCAGTGTGGCGATGTCATGGCATTGTGACATCATAGCATTGTCAGGGCATTGTACAAAATCTACTGTCAAATTGATATCTCCTAGGAGATATTGTTTGATCTTACACAAGCAATATCTCCAGTGGAACACAGTTTTGGATGATAAATCAGCGTATATGTTGGATAGCCTTGATGTGAAGTTATGTAAACTTGATACAAGGCTCACCATATGATATGATTTCTAAATCCTCTATCCCAATACACCTGATTCAGTATGTTAAAAGTTGTGTTTGAAACAGTTCTGTTCTACAACCAGTTTATGCCGATTTGCTAGTATTTCCTGGTTGACTATATGCAGCAGCAGAATGTATACCGTGCCCCTAACCTCATATGTTTCTCTCTATATATTATATAATATCCCATCATTGCTATCTTACATTTGAATACCAATGATTCAGTATTCTGACTCAACTTAAAAAATGTGAGTGAGCGAGTGAGTATAGTTTTATGCCACTTTTAATAATATTCCAGCAATATCATGGCAGGGGACACCAGAAATGGGCTTCACACATTGTACCCATGTTGGGGAATTGAACCCAGGCGTCTTCGGTGTGACAAGTGAACGCTTTAACCATGAGGCCATCCAATCGCCTTGTAAAGAAGGAGAGAATATGAACTTATAAAATGGAAATTCTGTATTGGATTACATGTCATATTTCAGCTTTACCACATCATCACACTCCATTGATGTCCTGGATTCTGAAATTATATTTTCCAGAAAGAAGAAGTTGATGTGAAGTCGACGTACACCCAGAACCGCCTGTCCATGTTACAGTATGAATATCAGAGTGTCTTCTTCGTGGCCACTAAACCCTCATGAGAGAAGGCGTACTTTCAAGCCTGTAGGAGTTACCTCCCCTTGAAGACTCCGCCATGTTGTAGATGGGTCTTCCTGCTACACAGACATCTGTAGAATGAGTGTGTTAATGGAGACAGGATGTGAGCTGCACTGGAATGTGGACATAGTTCCTGATCATCGTCATCATCATCATCATCATCATCATCCAAAGATTTATGTAGTGCCAGTTCCAGTCCAAAAGTACTGCTCAGTAATGCTCCCTGAACAACTTAAGAATTAAAAGTTACTTTACAAAGCTCTACCAAGGAATCCATATGCTGTATTGGGGGAATCTGGGTAGATGAAAGACCCAAACAACCTAGACGTAATGGATTACAGTGTGTACCAAAAACTTGCATGAAATTAGTACTGGGTACGATTTAGTTTTTTACTGCCTGCACAATTACAACTAAGTGAGTTTTTCAGGTTGCACAATCAAAATATTGCATATGCCATGTTATACACGTTATGATTCTTTATCAGCAGAGTGAGATGGATAATCGTAACCAACTTCATCTCCAGAAAGAACACATTACTTGATGTTTGAAAAGGATGTTTTGATAGATTGTTGCATTTTAACTGATATGTTCATTCGTGAATTTTATTTCTTTTCTGCTTGTCCAAATCAACTGTCCACCATTACACGTGATGTATTACACAGTGACCTCTGACCTTCCATGAAATGTCACATGATTGTGTAAAGTGTGTGGTCTATCCTACTAATTAATGGGTGTGGTCCACGTAAGTGATTAACGACCAGGAAAACAGACTTGGTTTGTTTTGTCCTCTGATTACACAAGGTAGGTGAAGGGGGGCAGTGGCCCCTGCTGTAATATTGCTGGAATATTGGTAAAAGCGTTGTGAAACTAAACTCATTCACTCACTGGTAGGTCAAGACTTATTTAAAAGTGGAGAATTGTTTCACACCAGTCATGCACTGGTCGTGGGAAAATTTACCTTCAATGAGCTCAACCTGACAATAAAAGTTGCTTGCACTAGTAATGATTTCCTGTGCTGGGTGCAACCTGACAATAAAAGTTGCTTGCACAAGTAATAATTTACCTGTGCAGGTGCAGCTTCGATATATATCAAAATGTATTTCTGCTTAGTACAACTTGATAGCAATCCATGTCTGTTTCAATACGCAAGCGATTTTTATAAATATATTCCGTACGCATTTGTTTTAAACATTTTGCGTACCTAACATTTTAAATGCCTACTTGGTACGCAACAATTATTTTTCAATGCGTAACTGGAAATTTTCTATGCATATTTTACCCGGATACGCAGCTTATCTGGGCCTCTGCAGACCAAACAACAAAACTGTACCAAGACTTATCCATGGTGGCTGAAGTCACAGACTCAGATCTAGCTTAGAGGCTTGGGAATATGGTTAACTGTGTGTCATGTTTCTCTTCCAGCATGTGTCATTGCTCATAATATCCATCACTGGCTTGTCCAGTCCTGTGTCAAATGGAGCGGTGGGATAGCCTAATCGGTAAAGGGTCTGCTCGTCACGGGCTCGATTTAACCACATGGGTACAATGTGTGCAGCCCACTTCTGGTGTCCCCTCCATGATATTGCTGGAATATTGCTAAAAGCAGCGTAAAACCATACTCACTCGCTCACTCAAATATATAGAAGAGTTAAAGATGAAATACTGGTTTCAAAAAACAAATAAGCTGTAAGCTGTTATGTTGTGGTGGTGTTTGAAAAGTACAGAATCAGCATTGCGGAAACCTCTTCCAAATAACCACGCACTTCAAAGAGGGGTTAATATGACAGATGCATGTTTTTTAACATTAGAATATATCTTAAGATATCGACTCGTGCGTTTTCATTGTAATGAGTTGGAGAAGAAGTTACGTCGTCATTATTACTAGGGGTGGCTGTCGATATAGACCATTAAGATCTATAACCGTTAGCTAAGTATCAATCGATTATCAATAAATATAAGAGACGTAACTTAAAGGGAAAATGTCTGAAATAAATAAATATATTTTACAATGGTGAGTGGTGACATATTTTTGCAGTTATCATTAACAAAGCATCCTTAACATGAGTTAGCAGCAGACCTTGAATTACGTCATATATTTATATATTGTATAAAAAAATGATTTTTTTTCTCTCTCACAGTAGTTGTATTATCAATAACACAATTTTCATGTTAAAAATCATTAATAATCTTTCCTATCGACGATTTTTCCAGTTATCGATCATTTTAGCCAGTCCTAATTATAACCAGCATGGACCGTGGTAATATACATGACCTTCACCTTCATGAGGTTTCAGTTTCATACGAACTGCTCTGTATCAGAACATTAAAGGACAGAATTTGTATGCAATCAGAAATTTCTCGTGCTATGTGAGGTTTCAGGAAAGATTTTCAGTTGTTGTAAAGTGAAACAGAAACTGGATTAGATGTGCAGGAAGTTGAAAATACCAAACTCTTCACGTCTTTCAGACGATTTCTTCCTCGTGGGCCGTTTTACCGTGATGTTCAGTGTATGTGGAGTTCTTGTTACTGTACAGGGAATCACGGCAGTAATAGCGTTTTAGCTATTGTCATCTGTCACCCGTGATGATCCAGCTTAGAACTGGCCTTCAGCAGTCTGTCTTCAGTAACCCATGCTTGTCATAAGAGGTGACTGAGGGGATCGGGTGGTCAGACTCGCTAAGTTGGTTGACACATGTCATCGTTTCTCTATTGCGTAGATCGATGTTCATGATGTTGATCACTGGATTGTCTGGTCCCGACTTGAGTATTTACATACCGCCGTAATATAGCTGGAGTATTCCTGAGTGTGGTGTTAAAACAACAACCAATTGTAATCTGTCATTTGTTACATGTTGATTCCTAAATTTTAACTAAAATGTTTATTTGAATCTGTCTGTGAAAAAAGTTGATGTGAAACCAACAAATAACAAAGAACTGTGATGTACACAGAAACGTAACCTAAATTCGTGGACAGCCATGGTTCGTGGATCGCGGTAATTATCATGATATCTCGTAAATTGAATCTCGTATGACGTCACGAAGCGGTACATTTGATGTACACACAATGCCACGCCTCGCAGTCAAAAATGTTCCGAATCTCTGCATTACAAGTAAATACATTAATCTAATTGTCCAGCACTGAGATGAATAGCCCAAGATCACTAGTGCCACTAATACCAAATTTTATATTTACAAAATCATCTCGTCAGCTTTTCCAAGTGCAATACTTACTGCAATGGGCTGTCGTACATAGTGATAACAAGTATTCAACTCCGTAATCCACGAAACATTTTGTGTGCACACGAATGGTGATGATTGCAAATGGCTTCGGTAAACAAACGTTTCATTCACGAGTGGAATATTAGGCATTTTCAGTTTGCTGAATCAATGAATAAAATAATCAGTGAGTATAAAATCGTGCATTTTCGCCGCACTTCCCTTATATCCACGAATCATGGTTACGGGAGTGAAATTACCACTTGCATTGTAAAACTGACAAATCAGTACAAAGGTATCACTATGACAGTACAAGACAGAATGGCCGTACACATCCAAAGGTCATATACAAGAACAGGAATAGTGACAAAAAAGACAATCATCACTCCCAATACTTAGCTTGTGGTGACCTGAGATGTCATGTGAGATAAGAGGTATGAGCTAACTCCCCTTACTGAGTGCGTGTGTGTGTGTGTGTGAGTCAACAGCTACAATGTATTTCACTATGAACATTGTTCCGTAATGATTGAAAATGCCGTGTATATAACACATTTTTGGGGACTGACAAAATCCCAAAGGATAAAATTTCTTTGGTCAAAATCCCACACCAAAATGACCAACCTTGCTACCCTTTTTCACCAGTTTAAATTTGATTGTTTTCATGACAGAGGCCAGTGAGATAAGTTGATTAGATGTTTTCGTAACAGGCCAGTGGCTGCATTGCTAAATTGTATGAATGCGTCTGTGATGATAAAGTAGGAGTTAAAATAGCATTAGATGGATTTTGTTGCACTAAGAAGGTTACAAATAAGAGTAGTACTAGGTGGGAATGTTCAAGAAAAATTGCATGAGAATGTCTTGAACTCATGAACACATTGTTGACAACGGAGAATCCGGTTCTTGTTACATCTGATAGTCATCCAGTCATACATCATTAAGATGTACAAAATTATGATCAATACTGCTTAATTCATGAGGAAAAATAAAACATCAAATTTTAAAATTAATTGTTTGTCATTTTTCACACTGCGGCGATTCTGTCCGAAGTGTGCAGACACTTTGCCCTATGGGATTTTGTCTGGATGGGATTTGTCTGGGTGGGATTTTGTCCGGATCGGATTTTGTCCTACCCTCCACATTTTATATGTCTATCAGCGATTGGGTAGCCTAGTGGCTAAAGTGTTCGTTCGTGACGCTTAAGACCCCGGTACAATGTGTGAAGCCCATTTCTGGTGTCTACGCCCGGATATTGCTCCATTATTCCTAAAATCGGCGTAAACGTAAAACACACTAGTTTCATTGCTGATTAAGCTCAGAGTAATGGGACAGAGTCTTGCAATTAATATTAGATTATTAATATGGTTGTTATAAGCGTTGAAGGACATGCATATGTTCTTGTATTGGCAGCAATTTATGCTGCTTTATCTGACCAGGACTAGGGATGCAGAAGGCAACTTCTGTTGCCGTGGCAGCAGGACGTCTTTGAAGGGCATGAACGTCCTCAGTGGTAGCAGATGCTTGAGGAACCCCTGCAGTAACATTTAGTTTTTCATAATGTTCCATTAACAGAGACACACTGTCGTCTACCAGGGCCCAGTTGTTCAAAACTCGGTTATCTTTTAACCAGCCGTTAAGTACATTTAACCGATTGTTACCTAATAACAGAGGGTTATCTTGTTGTTCAAAACTCTGTTAACTATTAACAGGCTGTTAACGTGATGTTAAGTTAACACACCTAAGGACCGCCGCTAACTTTTTAACAGTGTGGGTAACTCGCAAATGGCGTTCATGGCTAACACTGCTTTCATGATGCCAGTTCAGCAAAGAAAGGATAGGGTGTATCGTGGACTGGACTTCGATATTGGAAATTATTCTGACGAAGAGTTACATACGAAACTGTATCTAAGCACATCATAGGAACTAAAATACATGTTGTACAAGTACATGGTGCCTACGTTCTATCTTTTAACACTTGTGGAAAGGTTTATATATTCTTTACTACACTAAATGTGTGAATTTCTTCTGTAAATATTATTCAACAAACACTTTCAAAGAATATAACTCGTACTCCCTATACCCACGTATGATATGATATTGAACAAGGCTACATGTAGATAATTAAATTAGTTTCATGAAAAAATATCCGAACGATTACATTATGATACTGAAAGTGTAATCGGCGGGATATGGTGATTGTGTATACTCTTATTCTACCGACCGTCACCTCAGAGAAACTGCCAAATACACTCCCATTTTAAGAAAGAGAAGAAGCCAGGAATGCCGATTATTACCGTTGTCGTTCTGCGTGATTTTGCGTCAGTCATGGCGTCACGCAGCACAGAAACTTGACAGTTTCGTGTAAACACATCACATTCCTGTATTGTATCTATCTTTAATTTCCTATTTCTTGCTACTATGCTCTTTCCATGTAAATGGGTGTCTGAAAATTTGAGAAAATGCTACACAGTGTAAAGTCTGAAATCTTCTTTGTTTACATTTCAAACAGGTGTTGTCTTTCGAGCACAGCAGTTGTTTCCACCCCCAATATCTTTCGTTTCACTTTATCTAGACACTTGGTATTGGTGCCAAAAAGACCAGTTGTAATTAGATGCTAAAATGTATGAGGAATTCAGTAGGGCTGGGACGAGTAGGAAACAATGGAATCGAGTACCCGCATGTACGTACCCGAATCGGAATCGAGTACCCGGAAATGTAAGAAATACATTCGGGTCAACTTTCTGAATATTCAATCACGATTTGACAGAGATTATTATAGAAAACCTGAAC